GTCCGGTGATTGTGCGTTGACGCTTATCGCGACGATTAGTTTCGCATGCTTCGGCCACTAAAGCGATTGCTGTCGCAGTGAACCATGTATTAAGCAACTAGTAGGTAATATTAATAATTATTACAATATTTTTTTAGGTTTGGCTTCCGTCGTTTCTGCCTTTCCTGGTCACGTGGCATGCAGCAATCGCACCGATACACGCCCAGGTAGCATACCAAGGCTGCGATCGGATTTCAACTGGTTCTAACTCAGCCACAGAGCCGCTGCGACAGTGCGACCGTTATTTATTCATATGCGTACATTACAAGTGCACATATGACCACGGCATCAGGAGGTCAACCCCTCGCTCGGTCTTCCCAAATTCCATAATGCTAGAGTTGCGGGTGAACATACTCACGGAGAACCCGACTTTTATCATTTTGAATAACCCGGGTGCGATTCACTATCGGACCCTTGCCAATTCTGAGAGCTGCATTTGTCATCCTCTCTTTTTTGAAAAGAAGGTTTCACTGTTGACGCCCACTGTCACCGGCAATCTACACACCCAATCCTAATCAACTCTTTACGACAGTTCGACAAACGGGGACTTTCGCCCCATTCTTCATTCTGCGAATCGGGACGAATTGTCCTTCTTCCAGTTGTCCAGAGACCAATAAAATTTCGACGAAGTGACCAGATTCGTGGTGCAATACGCTTACCCTACAAGAATAGAAAGCCACGTGGAAGGATCTGTTGTTATATTCACACATGATGCAGGCTATTAGTACATCCGGGTGTGAACCTTCTGCTGCACGCCGAGATTGATGCGTTCGCTTCCTTTATCAGCAGTCAAGCTCCCACCTACCAAGACGTCATGAACTACCTCGACAAAATGGCGAGCTTTGGAGTGCTTCCAGAAGCCAGTTAAATTACATGGGCTTCTGAAAACCACTATATGTGACATGCACTATATGCATGTCACATGCAAAAAAAAAAAGTATGCGTACTGTGTGATACTAGTATTCTCGCTCTACTCACTGACATGCAAACCTATTGGTAGGAAATGGATGCGTATGTAAACTACTGACGACTGAAGTGTACAGTGAGTAGTTGTCTGTTCCAAAGATAAACGAACAAAAATAAAAATTTCTCGAATTCACACAAATGTTCCGCATTTACTCAGGAATTGTCGGGTCACACCAGCCACCATCCCCATGCATTTACAGGCGCGTTAGATGTCGATTTTATTTAAAAAAAAAAGATATCTATATTTTTTTTTTATTGTGGGAAATTACGCTTGTGGAAACTCTTGATGCCTTGCACCCACAGCTCCCAAAGCTCATTTTAAAAACTTAAATATTGACTTTCCGCATAGTCAGTGGCGCTGGCGGGCCGTCATGTGTTTGCAATGCGGATCTCCGTATGTAGCTCATCTATAGATCGAAACGGGCAGGGATGAGGACTGAACTAGAAATTCCTGGGTTCTAAATCGCGGCTTTTATAGACGTTCGCCAATTGCGATCCACTAGAACACCCGTACTTTGCATTCCTATTATATATTTCAATTTGGCTGACCTATGTCATCGGAATATTCCAAACATTTGAACTGTTAATATCAAAGGGGCGTTTGGCGTCGTACAATCGACACCTTTAACCGCCATCGTAAACCGGAGACACGGAAAAATAAAAAAAACGGACAAAACAACAACAACAACAACAACAACAAACTTTGAGACTTGTTGTTGTTTTGTCCGTTTTTTTATTTTTCCGTGTCTCCGGTTTACGATGGAAGTTCTTCACCAGCTCGCCTGTGCTTTTACCCTTTCACCTTTAACCGATTTGTACATAGCTGCGCATTGGCACTCAGCTAACTAACCATCAAGCCTTCCAATAGATGAGATTATAATGTTTGTGTCTGCTCTGTTTCTTTGTCGGTCCGTTGAACGTCGGCTTTTGTGGCACGACATTTTAGTATGATGTATCTACGGCAATTCCTGCAGGGACGCGGACTAAATATACACACAAGTCTGTACATTTAAGAGGGCAAATTATTCTAGCACGTGACAGGCGAGACGGAATGTCCAACGTGCCTGAATGTCCAACGAGACGAAAGATCCAACCGAGACGGAATGTACAACGAGCCTGAATGTCCATCGAGACGAAAGATCCAACCGAGACGGAATGTCCAACGAGCCTGAATGTCCAACGAGACGGAAGATCCAACCGAGACGGAATGTCCAACGAGCCTAAATGTCCAACGTGCCTGAATATCCATTATTGTATCTTTCGTCTCGTTGGACATTCAGGCTCGTTGGACATTCCGTCTCGTAATCGCCTCCGCCCCCCCCCCCCCCCCCCCCCACACACACACACACACCCGGCCCGAATCAAAATCCTGGCTACGTGCCTAATGCACTGTATATTTGGTCATGACGGTATGTCCTGGATTGAGGTTGGCAAATGGAAACGCTGACCAAGAGGTTTGCGCGGCACTGAAAGCCCAAGAAACGGCGCGACGCCTCTCGTCGATCTCGGCGAGGTTGCCAAAAGGGTTGAACCAAGCTTGAATCGGATGTTTTCTGCTGCCAACTTTTTATTAAGCACACAGCAGATTGCAGAGAGCACTGAGGGAATGTTCGTCAAGGAGGCTTTCCGAGCTCGGCTCCGGGGTGTCTGCTTGTTCAGCCGATGGCCTTCCAGATGGCTCTGTGGATCGGGAACCTGGTCTCGTTGTCGCAGTGGCCCTGCCAGTCGTCCCACTGGAGCGCGTATGGCATCACTCCTCCGAGGCCCATGGCTTCCGCCCACAAGCTCTGCGCCGACCGAGAGAAAGTCACTCAGGTCCGAGCAAGCAGCTTTCCCAACTGCCGGGGTCATGCTCGAACGATTGGTTTTCCAGCTGCAATGCCGAGTGCTCTTTTGCTGCTCGGACGACTCGCACTAATCGCTTTCATCGCCCTATTTTGTGTGGCTAATACATCCTTGCCGATTTTCAACCCTATGGTAAGAAGCAGGGCCGTAACCAGGGGGGGGGGGGGGGGGGGTTAGGGGGTTCTGACCCCCCCCCCCCCCCCCGAAATTTTTTTCTGGGTACGGCCCTGGTCGGTGCACTTGCAGCCAGCCGATTTTAATCTCCACCTCTGCGCACGCGCAGTGGCACCGGTGGGCTACCGGGTACCAAACCGGGACCGGTTCTTCGGTTTGCTATACTCTCCATTATATGCCACCGATGCACATGATTCATAGGCGAAAATAAGACAAAATGGCCGCCGTTGTCCTCGAAAACCCCCCCGAAATTTTTTTCTGGGTACGGCCCTGGTAAGAAGGTAAGGAAGGTGCGATCGGCCGGGTATTGTGCTGCAGTGCTGGTAAGCCACAACACACCCGCCCACGGAAGTTTCTTTAACGACTGCGTCGAATAATTTTACAGCGAAGCTGTTATGTGCTAAAATCTGAAAAAAAAAAAAAAAAAAAAAAAAAATGCGTCCATGGATGTTAACAAAAATCTCCCGTTTAAACGGCTCTCCTTCGTTCCGATTGGTCATGGCAGGTACAAATAAAAGGAGGTGACAACCCGTTGAGTCAGCCTTCCTTGGCATTACTAGATAGTGAGGTCATTATCTCTTGTTATCATCTACGGTCACCGACTTATCTCAGCCAAGAGTGCGCTGTGACGGGGCTGAGGGCCAGAACGCGCCGTTCTAACCTTCTATACTTTCGCTTACGTGATGCTGATAAAGAGACTTGGGCTCAGTCGGAAAAACCTGTCCTGTAGTAAGCTCTGAAAAATTGGGTTTAGAAATTGCCCATAAGTGACCATAATGCAATGATCATATTGTTGAATTAACAGCGCAAATACGACAAGGAAGGAGAGACAAGGGAGACAGGATAGAGAGCGATCAGCGCTCTATCCTGTCTCCCTTGTCTCTCCTTCCTTGTCGTATTTGCGCTGTTAATTCAACAATATGATCAACCAACCAGCCCACGAGATGATTGTGATGCAATGATCACTTTAGTTACCAAGAATTAAATAAAGACAAACAACGAAGTCGTGTGTCTCCATTGCAATCACAACTAAATCGTATAGATGCCGTATAGTTGTCGTAAAGATAACAGCTTCGCTGGTCCTCCCCCTTCTCGTGAAGTGGATGGGCTCGACACTTTTTCCGTCTACTAATGCATGCTACTAGGAGATGCAGTTCATAAACATCAAAATATTTTGTTCCTTTCAAAATGTTGAAGAGTAAAGGCTCCTGGATTGGGCAGTATCGCGATAATATCTTAGAAATACATCTACATTTCTGTGTCGCGATACAATGTTTCAAGCGGATTGGGTATTTTGGAATCGAAATACATTTTCCGGTGTATTCCTGGTATGGAGATACCATTAGGGGCCCATGTATTTCGTTGCTATTTTCACGAAATCGTTGACCTCCACAAAGAAGGTGTAGGCTAAGTGTCATCTGGGACGTTCTGCCTTTGACCAGATATGGCCACCCTACTTCCTTCTGCAAAAATCCCCTATGGTTTTCTCCAACTTTCGGTGATCGATTATTTTTGCAGATTCAAATATTTAACGCACTGTCGGCGGACCTAGCTGGCAGATTAAAAAAGTAAGGGTTTCTTGAACATCATATCTAATGGTGTCGTCGTAAGGTCAATGCTGTTAGAGGTGACTGGATTGGTCAAAATCCCGTCGACTTCTCGCCAATTCTTCCATGTCCCTCTTTCGTTATGGTAATCTCGAAGTTGTTTGGTATAACACATGTTTTAGGGGTTCCTGTGATTTTGCCCCAGAAAAATAATCAATGCCTAAAAATAAAATGCGTTCAAGCATTACTGAAAAAGAAAAGAAGCTTGCTTCCCTTACTACAGTGTAAAATGCAAAACAATTGATTCTGCGGTAATTTTAATTCGAGCGAAAATGTGTTGAAGTCAAAATTCAGACTGCACCTCACAGCGTTAGCTTACAGGATTAAAAAATATATATATATATCTCGTATTTTATTTTAATTGGGATAATGTGATTCTTTCTTGTCCTTCGCATACACTTTTATGAGCATCCAAATAGTTATACGTAATTTGAAAACATCTAAAACAGTGGTTTTCTTATTAGAACTACGTGTTTCAGTGTCTATTTCTGCTCAAGCAAAATATATTTCTATATTTGTATTTGCAAATATTTTTTTTTTATTTTTCAAATGTATTTCTGATACGTATGGCGGTACATCTTTATAAATATATGTTTGTATCAGTATTTTAGCTGTCTTGACCACGTGTACCAGAATTCGTATTTCCAAATACTTTCAAGAGTATTCCTGCCCATCCCTTTCATACATTTGTGTTCGGGTGCGTTGCGACTGACACAACCATATGCTTTAAAGCCGCTTACCAACACCGTTCATCATTGCTGCTGCGCTGCCTGTGGTAAGCATACTTCGGCTAAACTTACCTCGTGAGTGCACTCACTCACCTCACTCACCCTGACCGATCAGGCCTGAGGTCAGGGTGAGTGAGTTCATAAACCTCGAAAACTCATGAGTTCGAGGTTGAGTGAGGGGCGTGAGTTCAGTGAGTTCATGCGTTCGGGTGAGTTCATGAGTTCGGGTGAGTTCATGAGTTCAGTGAGATCATGAGATCACCCGCACGAAAATGTCAAATACAGGCCGGAATAAAAAATGCCGGTTCAGCCTGAACCAGAAATTAGGGCACCAGTTTGTATCCAGCCTGGAACCGCGTAGTTCCAGACGGGATACAAACTGGTGCCCCAATTTCAGATCCAGACAGAACCGGCTGGTTCCAGTGGTTCTGCAGAGCCACTGGTTAGCGCAGTACCAACCGGTGCCCCCACTTCAGACCCAGGTGTTGCGCCGCCGGAATTCCCGCTGCGCTCACCACTGGACCCTACAAAAGTATTTCGTGCGATGCCCTTAGCCCTCACAAGCGAAATCGTCGCGATTTCAGACCCAGGCGGAAGAGCCCGGGCCTGAAACCGTGGCGATCTCTCGGTTGTAACGGCTAAGGGCATCGCACGAAATACTTTTGTAGAGTCCAGTGGTGAGCGCAGCGGGAGTTCCAGGGACGCACATAATCGTCCAGGCGTCGTCACCAAACACGGTGCACGGAACACACACACAGCACGCGCAAGCACAGTATCCAGTCTTGAGCGCATCGGGAAGTTCCAGCGGGCAAGCGGTATCCGAGTTGTCCAAGTATTGTCACCAAGCACACCAGCGCCAAGCGCATCCAGATGCCGAGCCGAAGTGCAATGGGTCGGCAGCTTCACACTATATGAAGATTCAAAGACGAGGTCTGTGGGTATCCATCCAGGGAAACGATGGGCTCGTCAGTATCCGTGCGCCCGCAGCGCGAACGTCGCCACCGGGCGAGCGCCGACCGACAGTCCGACGAGAGCGAAGAACCTAAACTCTCGGAGCGCTGCCGCCGACTGCAACAGATAAAGCGAGGCTCGCGCGCGGAGAACGTCCGCTCGCAGCGCCTGCGTATCGGATGCGCCTGTCCCTAACACGTGACCTGCGATAGACCGCAAAAGCTCCCCGCCGACCGACCCCCCCCCCCCCCCCCCCTTCCTCCAGTCACGCATGTGCGCGCCCGCTGGCTGGGAGGAGACCCTACCGACCCTATTGGAACCAGGGGGAACGGATCGGATCCACCCATCATCGTGCAGTTCCAGTGCGTTGCGTCTCACTGGATCCGACTGGTTACACCCAGAACCGCGCAATACCAGGTCGGATTCACGCGGATCTGAACTGTCCATAAGTTCAGAACCGCGCGGATCCGAGCTGGAACTGCTCCGATCTGACATTGTCGTACGGGCATGCACTACAACCCCAGTTTAGGGGTTGTAGTGCGCTGGCTTTGGAAACATGTTTTAAAACATCGCTTGCGTTAACACGAACGTACTGTACCCATTGGCTACACATAACGTTCGATGGAACCTTGCAGTTCGTTCCATTTTAGTGTATATTTCGGAAACGCAAAGCGAGAAACATGCTCCGTTCGGAACTTACGCCTGCAAGGTCGCTTTATTGCAAGATGTTTGAATTTAGCTCGGTGCGCGTGACCGCTTCTCCGTTAGTATGGAGTTGACGGCGAAAGGAAAAGGTACGCGATATCTGTGCTCGGAAACATACTTTACTGCGCAGAAGTAGATCGAGCTTCTCGTGGTACGGCGAAAAAAAACGACTCCTAGCGTGGACGAACCATCGTATGAACGACGTTTGATAGTCAGAACTTGTTTTATTAGGTTAAATGCCACCTATAAGCGATTACTGAAACACAAAATATGTTTTACGTCACTCAGTAGTACTGCTTTGCAGGATTATTGTCAGTTCTCGTTATTCAGAAAAAATGCAAGACGAAAATGCGGATATCATGACTTCTCGAGACAGTTATGAGTCAATATAGTGTGATTATCGCTGCAAATGTTGGACTTAGTTTATCATGACATTAACCAGAAACTGGGGTAAAACATAAATTTAAGAAAACTTCAGTGAAGGTGTAAGTCCGATTACTATCGCAGCGCTGACAAAAACTGGCAATATTACGCCCTCAGATACTTACTCGGTGTGCGTCATATCTTCAATGCTACATGAGTGTTAAAATTCGTTTCAAAGGGAAACTAATCGAAAAGGCTGATAATAGGAAAACAATTATATCTAAACTTAAACATAGTAACTAAGTATCACTGCTTTAGGCATTCACATGGAAAGCTGGAGTGTAGATGGGGTACAGCTTGTATAGCACAATGCGTGAGCAAGCAAATAATATCACAGAGATTCACATAGGCACAACCGAACCCCATATAGGCACAACCAAACAACTATTCTGCAACCGCGTCTTGCACTGCAGCGGCATGCATTCGCTTCCTAGCTCTTTGAGTTCGGTCTTCTCTCGTGATGTGCACGGTCCACAAGTTGATCGGGCACCCAAGGAACTTTGACGGAACTATACTACAGTACGAATGCGCGCCCGGTAGCGTCGTCGACGTGGGAATTCTCTCGGAGCACTTCAGCGTTTGTGAAGTGAAACTCACACACTTAAAAAATAAAAGCTCATTCGTGTAAGCTAGGGTGCCTTCATGTGCGCTTTGCTTAGGGTGGAGACATCTGGCCATTTTGTTTCCACTTTTACATTTATTTTTTTGTTCAGAAGCGCGTGAAAGAGCGTGTCCCTGCACGCGTCTGTGGCGCTGACTGTGCTATGGCGACATTTTGTTTTCGTCGATTTCTTTGTATTTTCCCCGTGAGCGCGTGCTGTCGGCATCGGGTACTACAAAGGGTGGCGTCACTCTAAACAGAAGGTCATTGAGGCACCCTAGTGTAAGCAACGGGAAGCGCGAGCAAAAAGCCTATATGCACTCTCAAAAAAGCCCGTGCGTCTACTTCCCCGCACAACACTCAGAGAGCCAATCACCGCAACTTACGGAGGCAGCTCAGCGAATGACGATGCCGAAACATATGTTTAAACCCAAAAACACAGTCTGAGCTGTGACATTAAGCAATGCAAGCGTGACGTTTTGCATTGCTTAAAGGGGTACTCCGCCGTTTTCTTCATAGTCCACGATTTGCCTAAAAGCTTGCCAGACACACCAACAAACATCGCTGAACTAGTAACCCAAATATTTGGACAAAATAACGTTTTTTCGTGCAGTTACAGAATTTACAGTTTTGGACCTCATCGTGTTTTTCAAAGAGAAAAGCTCTACGGGCAACATTGAAAAAGTGACGTCATGGTTGGGTAGGAGTTCACTCTTTGGGCTGTAGACTTTGTTCACATCTGATTACAAACAGTTTCATGGTGTCAAATGAATGCTTTGGAAGGTCGCTCCAGCCCCCGCGCAGCAGCACGATACAAATGCTCGGCATAGTTCATATTTAGACTGCCTGCTCGAACCGCAATCCAGCCCAACCGTGACGTCAGGGCAATGAAAAGCGCGGGTATATTCGAATGTTTGTTTTGGCGTCGTTTTCATTTGCCGATTTCACAAAAACTATTCTGAATTTCGCGATACTAAATAGCATACCGAAAAGAGTAACGGACGGCGATTTCAAATATATGGTTACTGGGGTTGCTCAAAATATCGCCGGAGTTCCCCTTTAATGTCACAACTCAGACTGCGTTTTTAGGTCTAAACATATGTTTCGGCATCGTCATTCGCTGAGCTGCCTCCGTAAGCTGCGGTGATTGGCTCTGCGAGTGTTGTGCGGGAAAGTAGACGCACGGGCTTTTTTTAGAGTGTGGCGACGTGACCGATCGAAAGCGTCGGGGTGGTCGGCCCTCCACGATTGACCGAATGCTGACTTGGACGTCAGCAAAGGATTCCTCATCGGCGGAAATAAGAGTAATGTAAGAACTTCGATTTTGACGGTCTAAAAGCGCAATGATTTCCAGCTTCCACCCTGCTAATTAAAACACCATCGAACTTGTTGTTCACAGGGTAATGACGCCACGAAAGGTAACCATAGGAGGGCGCCACCCAAACATCTCGCCGCAAATAAGAGTGAACGAAAGAGCGAAAGTGGCGTGCTTCAGTCATTTAACAAACTAAAAAAATCCTTTGAAAACTTGTGAAATGCCAAAACCATGCGTCAAAAGAGGAGTGGTACCCGCAAAGTAAATGACGTTATGTGCGTTGGTTTCGGTCAGGACAAAGCGCCACATGCTTCACGAAACGTTAAAATATATTGCGAAGCCGCTCCAACTTGTACTTACGCTCTTGTGTGGCTATATTTCTTGTCCCTTCGCGTTCTACCAGAGCAAACAATGACTCGAAAAATGAGGAGGTTCTCACCTTGGGTGGCTCAAAAGGGCAAGTTTGTCCCGCGGGATCGCTCGTATCCAAGCATCACGAAAATCATTCTCGTTCGGAAATCTGAACACTGTCACCCTCGGGCCTCCGATGTATCTACGTCAGCACCGAGGGACGCTGCATTTCAACGGCATTGGTATGCCTTTGAAACCGACGAAGGCAAACAAGCGCACACGCTTGACGACGACGCCAAAAACCTAACTAAACAACTCATCAAAAAAGAAAAAAAAAACGTGTGCTGCGTGACCGCGTGATTTTCTGGGGGAAAGGAGTGGTGCGTTGCGTTGAAGCAGTTGAAGCCGACGTCTCAGGCAATTTGAGCCCTAGCCGTCAGTTCTGACGTAGTCTGACGACATCTCTTCGAGCGCTCCGGCTTTGTGTTCTAGGAGGTGTTGGCCACCGGCATATGGAGAAACTGGATAGGGGCGGAATAGTTAAGGGTCGACGCAAAATTTTCTCCTCTCCCGAGCGAAACAAAAGAAAAAGTTAGCGCGTCCGTGTTTCCGGATTTTACCGCTGGGGCATTGCTTGGCGCTGCCTGGCAGGCCCCCTGCTCGCGCCCTCTTTCCTGATCTCCTTTCCCCTTTACAGCGGCCACGTTCTTTTGCGATTTTACGGCCTTTCTAGAATAAGGGACGCTATGACTGGCACCTGTACAGTTATTCCAAACCACTGGGGCCGCTACCGCACTCTTTCCGTTGTTGCGCCTGTACACAGACCTTGAACACGGCGCTCTGGACGCTGTCGTACGAGATCCAGTCCCGACCCTTGGACGCGTACGGAGCGTGGGCCTCTTTGTCCATCACCTCCACGGCACCCTTCTTCAGGAACTTGCACACCTGCGGGTCAGTAGGGCCAGATCAAAAGTATAATAACGGCACATTAAGTAAAAGAATCCTTGAAAGGGAGACGGGCGCATTAGACGTCATAATCTAAACTCCTAGAGGAAAAGGTGCTTGCCGCGCATCTCTTCGACATCCCAGTGCATTGCTGGCGACGCAAAACACAACTTCCAAATAATTGCTTTATAAGCTTATTTTGCAAAGCGGCTTCGCGTATTGTATTAAAATAAGATTGACAAGCGCTCGAGCAACTCGAAACGAACCTGCTCTTTTGTGTCGTTATTTCTCTCGGGACCAGCGATGTGAGCCACTTGCTACTCCCGTCTTTACACCCCCGATTATAGAGAAGGTCGGCAGCCCTTCACTGTCGTCCTTGGTGACGCTTCCCTTGTGTCGCGTGCTCCCATACCGTAAAGGTTGGTTTAGTGGATCATTCCGATACTCCCCGACAGCAATACCCGATAACAGGGAGTTTTAGTAGACCGTGTTTCCCCTTCCGCTAACCCTCCGCTACAAAGAAACCGCCACTGCGCCTGCGTGCCGATGGCCTTGGCTGTAGAGTTCCGGTATAGGCTCCTTGCACAGTACGTCATTTCCGTTGCCCTCCAAAGAAGAGGAGAAGAAGGAGATCCCCTCTTATCAGGACCCTCCTTTGTACCTCCCGGATTTTTACAGGCGTCGCTATTCTCCCCCCAGAAGATTATAGATGATTAACCTGTCACTCAAAATTCTTACAAAAGCAGCTTCCCTCTCCTCCTCTTACTTGGTGTTCAAAAGTGTGCGATGTGACGTCAGTGCAAGGAGCCTATAGCGGGCCCTCCGCCCGCTACCCGGAACTCTACAGTCAAGATTCGCGGACGGGGAAACACGGCCTACAAAAACTCGCTAAGGATACGATGCACACGCAAAGGCGAAGGTGGAGTATGCGCTATCGTTAGCCAAGTCATCGGAACGGTCTAATAGAGAGTTTTAGTAAATCGTTCCGACGGTGACCCACTGCGTGACGGTTCCAGTTGTGCTCGACGCGTCGCGCGGACCTCGGTTGCCATAACAACCACCCTCGCAGTCGATCCCTCTGTACAACTTCCCTCCACTTGTGACACGCTTACGACGGAATGACAAACCCAGGTCCGCGCAACGCGTCGACGCAGGGAGTGGTCGCGCAATGGGTCGTTGGGCTCCGAACCGACGATGCTCGCGTGAGGTGACGACGAGAGCTGCTCGCCTGGTTGAATGGCAGGAAGCCTCGTCCCAGGCCGGGTCCCAGGGCCCTGCTGCCCCAGCCGTGATGGCGCCTGTGTGCCAGTCGGAAGGTGCGCGCGTACAGGGGGATGCCCAGCACCATCTTCTCGGGGGGCATGCCCAGCTCGGCCCAGTGCTGCACCGCCGACGCCTGACCACCGGCATTCATTATATCCTTTCAAACGCATCTGCAGCTAACTAGCATCTTAGACGAGAAATCTTAAACGAAAATACAACTTTCAGCCAATGAGCACTTTGCGGTTTATACCTTGTAAAGTTTACGCTTCTCTTCCTGGAAAACGGGAGGCCAACAATCTCGCCAAAGTCGTCGGCGGCTTGAGACCACACTAAAGTTTAACCGGGTACAACCGAAAGATGTTAGAGGGTTTTAGAACATACACATTTCTAGGGAACGTTAGCGCTAAATTTAACGTTTGCGTTACCTCACGCTACGCGAGGAAGTTTTAGAATAGCGTTTCTCCACCGCGACGCAAAAACCCGAGCATCTCGCGCTTGCGACGCCGCAGTGATACAGTAACAATTTTTGTTTCGCGTACGAAATGCTGTAACTTAAAACACACAATTTTTTTTATTTTTATTTAGAATAACATTTTAGATTTATTTGAATATGAGAATGCGACTCGAGCGGTCGACCGGTCGTCTCCACTAGCGTCGCCTCGGCAAGAGGTAGAGGTGTACTGACCATAGAGTTATCATTATGTACGTTATACAGGTTGAACAGGGATGCAAATTAAGGCAGAAAGCTACCAGCCTCCTTTAGCGGTGCCCCCCTCTGCATTCGTAAACGCACGTGCATTTCGTCTCTTCGCCGGAAGGTAATAGGAATCAACTTTGTCATTTGGATCGACCGACTAGTATGCACTACCATTGTTACCATTGTAAACGTGTGATTCTTGTAGTCAGGGATGGGCAAAATACATGCAAATATGTATCGAAATACAAATACAAAATACTTCGTCAAAAATGTATTTAATTACAAATCTAATTACATTTCCACAAAAAGCATTTAAGTACAAGATACAAATACAACCAAATGTATTTGGTCTCCTCCAAATACTTTTCCAAATACATTCCTCAAAATTTGCTTCAGCGACTTCAGGGCACCTGCAACGGGTTTCTGGGTATCTCATTTTAATTTTGCATCGCACACCCTGGAGTTAGTGTGCGAGGCTCTAGTAACGTAATAGAAATATAATCACAAAAAAATTTAATCAGCTTGGACGTAATAGGTGAAATAAGTACAGAGCTTCATGCAGCTTTTTTTGTCGATTACATTTTGGTATAGACCAACAAAGAACCGAGACGACCAAGACGCGCTAGAGAATTTTTTATTGTCGCAACTCGCACCAGTTACGAAAATCTGGACGACCCGCGCATTTAGAATGTTCCAAGCAAAGGTATGGCTGGAAATCAGGCTGGAAAGCATCACAAGTTATCGCAGCCACTTATTTAGCCAGTCTGCCTGTGAACGTCGCTTTCGTCACTATTCTTGCCCTGGACTAGCACCGTAATCACAAAGTCACTAGACGCTTCTGCATGATTGAGAGACACTGCATCCGGTGCAGGACGTAGTTTTCTTTCTGCTCTGGACACGTCTTAGGAGGAGCAAATTGAGTCGTGACAATAAATTTGAGGGATGTATTTTCGCCCACAAAATTGTATTTAATTACAATTGTATTTGAAATACCCACGTTTTAGTATTTAAATACACTCGTAAAATACATTACCCAATTTGTAATTAAATACAAATGCAAAATACACCAAGTATTTAAAATACGTATTTCAAATACTTGTATTTGAAATACTGCCCATCCCTGCTTGTAGTTATATATGCAAATGACCCCGTCGTGCAACTTTACGCGTGGCTAAAAGTCACTCCAAATGTAAGGATAATGTGCGTGGGAAATAAAAGGTTTCAGGGGTTTTAATTGTTCTTTGGTATCAGAAGTGGGAGCTGTGTTTAGAATGGAAGGGGAGAATGATCCTTTTGTTCAAGTTTGAAAGAGGATGGTTGCTGCCTTAGCGTCTCGACCTGTGAGGTTTTCCCCGCTCATTCCTGCATTGTGTGATGGAGTTTCCGGCGCTTGAACCGTATAGACTTCGTCCTTCTATGTTGGTAAATAAGCCTGTTAGCTGAGTTTGAGACGTCGTCCTGTCTATTCTATGTCCCTTCTGCGTCTTGATGTTTCTTTTCTACCCCAATCTCAGGTTGAACATTGTTAATATTCACCAGCTCGCCTGCACCCTTGCTATATTCTCAATGTAAGGTGCCTCTATTTATTACATGCCGGGTAGCTCTTATCAGGCACCGGTGTTCTGGCTTCTCCCTTTTTCAAATATTTTGAGCATACGTAGATGGTGTTTGAAAAGACACAACAAACATCTTGAAAGTAAACATTTGGCAGAAATCTGCCTGGTTGGGTAAGAACAATTAGAAGAGGAGGAAGGAACGCCAACCAAAAATAAAAAGGAGCCCAACGTTTCGAAACCTGCTTGGTTTCTTCTTCAGGGGCGACTGTGTGCGCGAGGAGCAAGTGGTCTTCTTTTACGGCGGTGGACGTGATTTTTTTGCGATCGTAATGTGGCTGAGCCCGCTGACGTAAGCCGACGGTAAAGCGCCAAGCGACCAATTGATGTTTTGCGGAGTGGTTTGAATGTGCCATGACTCGACGAAGAGCCTTTGCCAGGAATTGTTCTCAATGTCGAGGATACGTGTGTCGTCGAAGTCAATGCGGTGGTCATTCGAGTCACTGTGTTCCGCAACCGCGCTGCGCTCATGATCGAATTTTCGCACGTCGGTTTTGTGCTGGCGAAGTCTTTCTTTAAAGTTTTTGGTTTCGCCGATGTATGTGGCAGGGAAATCCGCACAAGGAATCTGGTAAATAACGCCTTGCGCTCTTTCCTTTGGGGGACGATCTTTTGGCCGGGGCATCAGGTGTCCAAGCGTTGACACTGGTTTGTGGGACATCTGGATGCCTTCTTTTGCCAGCACACGCGCGAGCGCTTCGCTGGTTTCCTTTATGTAAGGGACGCAGATGCGCGTGGTTGAGCGGGGATGTGCGATTTCTTGTGTTTCGCCGATTGGTCTTAGGCGTCGATCAGATTTACGTTGACGACGAGCGATTCGCTGAATAAAACTGCGTGTGTAGCCGTTATTTAGCAGGTCGGAGATGATGGTTTCTTCTTCCTTTTTTCTGTAGTCCTCCGACGAGCAAATAGTCTTCGCTCGGGACAGGAGTGTCTGGACGACCGACGCCTTGTGGCTCGCAGGGTGGTTTGAGTCAAATCGGAGATAGCGCCCAGTGTGTGTCGGTTTCCTGTACACCGTGAATTCCAATTGATCTTTTTGTCTTTTGACCAGCACGTCAAGAAACGGCAGGGCGTCGTTCTTTTCAGTTTCAACGGTGAACTGGATGGCCGGCTCGATGGAGTTGAGGTGTGCCAAAAAGTTGTTCACTTCTGATTTCTTCATAATGCAGAAGCAATCGTCGACATACCGTAAAAACACTTTAGGGCGTGCAGTGAAAGACTCCAGCGCGCGATGTTCAATGGCTTCCATTGTCAGGTTGGCCGTGGTGACGGAGATGGATGCGCCCATTGCGGTTCCGCTGGTCTGCTTGAAGAATTCTCCTTTACAGCTGAAGTAGGTGCTCCCCAGGCAGAACTCTAGCAGGCGGCACAGTTCGTCCACCGTAAGGCTGGTCCGTTCGCTCAGCTTCTTGTCTCCATCGAGGGCAGCTCTGGTTGTGGCGACTGCCAGGGGAACGGGCACGCTGGTGAAGAGCGAGACGACGTCGAACGACACCAGGCTTTCGTCATCGTTTACCTTTAGTTGCGCAACCTGTTCCACAAAGTGCCCGGTGTTCCGCACATAGGTCGCTGTGTTTCCAACGAGAGGAGAGAGAGTGCTGTGAAGGTAGTTCGACAATCCCCGAAGTGGTGAGGTTGTGAAATCCACGATCGGCCGGAGAGGGACGCAGTTTTATTCAGCGAATCGCTCGTCGTCAACGTAAATCTGATCGACGCCTAAGACCAATCGGCGAAACACAAGAAATCGCACATCCCCGCTCAACCACGCGCATCTGCGTCCCTTACATAAAGGAAACCAGCGAAGCGCTCGCGCGTGTGCTGGCAAAAGAAGGCATCCAGATGTCCCACAAACCAGTGTCAACGCTTGGACACCTGATGCCCCGGCCAAAAGATCGTCCCCCAAAGGAAAGAGCGCAAGGCGTTATTTACCAGATTCCTTGTGCGGATTGCCCTGCCACGTATACATCGGCGAAACCAAAAACTTTAAAGAAAGACTTCGCCAGCACAAAACCGACGTGCGAAAGTTCGATCATGAGCGCAGCGCGGTTGCGGAACACAGTGACTCGAATGACCACCGCATTGACTTCGACGACACACGTATCCTCGACATTGAGAACAATTCCTGGCAAAGGCTCTTCGTCGAGTCATGGCACATTCAAACCACACCGCAAAACATCAATCGGTCGCTTGGCGCTTTACCGTCGGCTTACGTCAGCGGGCTCAGCCACATTACGATCGCGAAAACATCACGTCCACCGCCGTAAAAGAAGACCACTTGCTCCTCGCTCACACAGTCGCCCCTGAAGAAGAAACCAAGCAGGTTTCGAAACGTTGGGCTCCTTTTTATTTTTGGTTGGCGTTCCTTCCTCCTCTTCTAACAACAAACATCTGCACATATACGGATGAGCATGCAGAGAGAATAAAGCGAAACTTATTTAGTGCAAATCGGACTGTAATGTTTTAAGTACAAAACGAGCATGTTGGTAACAGTCATAAGGAAGATAACACAGAGAAGGGGCCGGACAACAATGACCTTGGAAGTCATTGTTGTCCGTCCCCTTCTCTGTGTTACTTTCCCGATGTTGGGGACTATAATCACTTTTATTTTTGTTTTAATCGATCGTCTACGTGCACAGAGATTCACTGATCCAGTGTTACTAGTAGTTCTTGCAGTCTCTCTTGATTTTCCAGATACCCGTCGTTCGTTTGGAGCATAAACCCCTCCTGCAGAGAAGCCCCAACGCCGTGTTCGCACCATCGGTGTCCAACAGTGCACATAAAACTATGCATGAAGCTATTTTAGCGCGGGGTTTAATACCAAAAATTTGAAAGAAAAACTGTGTAACGGACCGATATTTTGGTTTAGGTGATTGAGAAATCTTTCGGGGCACTTAATGCTTTAAAATTTTTCGTAATATTTGCTCTTATAATGAAGCGCGAAGGGAAAAAAAAATGCACCAGTTTTTCCACAATAGGAATGTATTACTGGAGGTGGATTTTAGACTGCCTGCTTCAATTTGCAACAGCGCGCCAGCAAAACCTCTGGCGCGCATTATGATAACTGTATGGTATACTGACGTTTGCAAACCGTTGTACCAACCATACCTTCGCCGAGAAACGTCGCAGGCAGCAAGTTGCCGTCGATCGTTGCTGGGTCTTACGTTTGTGAAGTGAACGTCCCGTACGAATCCTCCTTGGAAGAAGGCAAAGACTAAAACAGCGCATGCGCAAAACGCGTTCGGCGTATGCGCGGTGGCGACGATGCTATTATAAAACTCCGTCCTCCCGTAAAAACGGGAACGCAAAAAAAAAGAAAAAAGAAAGAAAACAACAACATTTGTACGTGTTTTTGCGAGGTATGTATTAGATACTCGAAAAATGGGACTCGAAATAGTATTTAGTACAGCGAAATTGGGATATTTCTCGGAGAGTGGTGGTATTAGGGAGTTTTCGTAGACCGACGTTTCCTCCTCCGCTAAGCCCTCCGCAGGGAAGACGCCGCTACTGCGCCTGCGCGCCGATGGCCTTGACTGTAGATTTCCGGGTATGATAGCGGGTTGCGAAGAGCGTTGCGGGACGGCGAAAACGATCTACGAAAACTCCCTGTTGGTGGAAGGCGCCCCAAGGCGGGCACGAGAAGGTCTCTCACCACTGTCAGCGTGTCTCGGTGCTTGTGAAACAGCGGGCTGTGGTGCTGCGTGAAGGGGCTGTGCGGGCTGAAGAAGTTTAGGTCGTACGCCATCAGGTTGACGAAGTCCAGCTTCCTGCGGGACGCGCCTTTTGGTTTCGGACGGGGTGCTCCCCATCATTTCATTAATCGCTCTCGCGAGCCGGAGGCGGTTTTTTGCTATTTGCTGTCCTTCAAGCTTCGCATACGCACAGTATCGAATGTCTTATTTCCCGGAAGTTTGCGTCACACCGGAAAGCAATAAGAAAAGTAAATGTTATAGATAAATAGTGTTAATGCTTTGCCAGTTTAGCTCACGTTTGTTTTTTGTGCATTTCTTACACCCGTGAAGATTTCAAATTACCGGAAAAAGATTTCCTTTAGTCAAATGCGCGACACATCTTACCAGGATAGGTCGTCTTTCATCCGCAAAACAAATGGTCAAAATGCGAGCGAGGAACCTTCCGGCAGGAAAGCTGATTTTCCTCCTATCCCGTCCTATCAATTTGGCGTCTGATTTCGGCGGCACTTTGATTCGAGGAGCGTGCCTTTGGCAGGCGGGACCCGAGGCAGGACCCGTCTCGAATCAATGCCTGGAACAGGTCTCTGACATTTCCGCGTGATGACGTCGTACAAGCGCCTTGTGCACTTCTGGCCGGAGGGTCAACCGCCAGGATGCCGACATCCCACAGCATGACGATTTGTGTGTTGGCGCATGCTAAATACGCCATAGTCTCACCTTGCCAATGCTCGCACTTCGTACGATGTCAGGATGACGGCAGGCAGCCCAGACACGCTGGCCGTGAGCAAGAACTCTTTGTCCGTGTCGTTCATGTAGTCGCGGAACTCCTGCACGAGAACCTTCTCTGAGTGTCCGTCGCAGACCGTTTGCGCGACTCCACTTCTCTCGCACACGAAGGTATACGGGGCATCAATTGTATCTCCGATTCGAGAGATTTGCAAATCGAAATGGCGCCATCGCTCTGGCTTGGCAAAAGACGCCTTGAAACCCAAACTGACATGCCTGTTTGCGCTTTCGCCGACAACTCCTCAGTCTGACTTTGAGAAGGTATTCGTAAGAAGTGAAGACGGTGTGTGCATCTCGCGGTGAGCGTGCACTCGGCGTCAATAGCTTGCTCCCCAGAAAATGCACTCTCCGAGCTTATACCCGTTCAGTAAAGAGCTTCTGGTCTGTGCTATCTTTTAACATCCCCGCACATGGCGCGTTTTTACTTGCTGTCCAAAGCGATGAACACGGGCATTCTGGGCTATGGAGATTGCACGCTGCGCTAGCAGGTCCAAGCGAGCCCCCCCCCCCCCCCCCCCCCCCGCGCATATACACGCGCACACACATTGCGACCGGTCACAATCGGGTCGCGGTGCCCCGGTTCTACCGGATCCGTATGATTAAAACTTTATTTGGAATATTCCTTTTTTTTTTTTTGCGTGCAAATAAATGCATGATTACATCACTTGTGTCGAGAACTCTCAGGAGCGTGAAAGCAAAACACTACACGACCATACTTCTGTAAGAAATGTCGACAAATGCGTAGAATAGAATTGTTAAGGCAGGCGTGCCCTTATAATATTTAAAAAAAAATGTATTGACTCTCTTAGCGTCCCTTTAACACACGTTCGTGCTGCCGCACCGGCCGTGAATACAACAGAATGCACCCACAATTCCCTGCGCCGTGCGGGATGACGTGGGGACTGAGAGATGCATCGTGGGAATTTCCGGAAGGGTCTATGTCTGAGTTGGCTCCACCCGACTGGGATGACGTTCAATGGAAGAAGAGCTCGGACGCCTTTCGATTATTCTAGATGGTGTTGCGTATCTTTGCCCGCATGCACCCATTCAGGTAAGACGCACGTCGAGAAATACGCGGTGTAACTGTTTGTGACCTTTATCTATCCTGTATTTCTAGCGTGATTCGCAATTATAAATCTTTAGTTTTATTAATTTTTCTACGGTTATTTTACGCGCTTTCGAAGCGTTTGAGACCATAAAAATAGTGCCGGTGTTGGGTTTGCCAGCACCCCTTTTCTTCAGTCTCTTCAAAGGGCCATATCGCAACCAAAGTCAGAAGATTGTTCAATTCGTATCAGCGGTGTTGCGTGAATTGGCTAGTTCTTTTAGCTGGAAGCCGACGCTACGAGCTAATGGGACCAATCAATCAGCGTCAAATGCGCGAGTCACTCGGTCTTTTTTTTTTTATTCTGATTGGTTCAGCGTTGAAAGAACGCGTATACAAGAACATGGCGAACTTTATGATCGTGCGCTTTTGACGATGTCTGATGGGTCCCATCAGCTCGTGGCGTGGGTTACGTCTGAACTTGAACGAATTACTAGAGCGTCGTGCAGTGGCGCTCACCTGCACGAGGACCTTGAAGAAGAACCGGTCGTGGACGTGGCCGCTGTACCAGCCCGGGAACTCCCAGTCTAAGTCCAGGCCGCTCAGCTTGTGCCTCCGCACCAGGCACACAGCCGACCGGATGAACCTGGAACAACCGGACAAAATTTCCGAGTTGGTGAACCGTGTTGCAAGCGCCCGGACCGCCGGTCGAGTGTGCACCGCAGTCCGGAGCACGTGAAGCTAAATCTCGCGCTGCAGAACCCAGGGATCCTGGTTTCAATTCCCACCCCTGCCCCTTTTTTTATCTGGATGACCGTCGTACCGGCGTGTATCACTACTGCGTGCACCAGTGCTCTTCTACAGCGGAGACACGTCCACTGGGGCTGACCTCCCGTATCAAACAAACAAACGACACTTCTTAATAATGCGATTCTTTTCTGGGTCGATTAAACTGCTCACTGACAGGTCTCTCTCGAATGGCCGGTCTCCAGCTCATTGCCTTCCCCTGGCTGCGAGACTTCCTCGCCTTGTAAGTGTTCACAGTATCCGATCCAGGACGGTGTAGGGCGAACGCTACGGCGCCATGGGAGCACATTTTCATGTGTCCTACGCTCTCATTGGCTCACGGGGATCCTACGCTCTCATTGGCTCACGGGGATTTCGCCGTTTGCCAAGTTATGCTGAAACAGAGCCCCTTCCTCCCCACTATACTCTTTTTCACCTCAAGAAAAATGCAAGTTTTGCGTATTGTTCATACGCCATGCGAAGTATAGTTCTTAGCCCAGTTTGCACACTTGCAACCGAGTAGGGCCGAGAGAGACAAGATCGGGTTTTAAGCCTCTCGCGACGGCGTAGGACCCGCTCCGCAGCAGCGCACCCGGTCCTCCGCCGTCAGACGCTTAAAAACCAGGTTATAAGTCCTACTCGGTTGCAAGTGTGCGAACGGCGCTTTACAAGATTTGTCTGTCGGAGGAAAAAGCAATGCTTTTGGCGTTTCAAAACTCTTGACAAGATAACACATATCTACTCTAATATGAGCCTACACATATTATAACTCTGCACATAAAGGGAAAATTAGTAATGCTCCGCGTGGACTCTTTTACTACGGTTCTTGAGGTGAAACCCAGTGGAACTACTTCTTCTCCCATCACGAGCTTCAGGCTTCACCACCAAACTTCAAAATTAAAAAAAAAAAAAAAAATCGGAGTGGATTTAGGCTATTGGCCTATCGCGTAACGTGTGTCATGGCGAAAGCCCCGCGACCTGAACAGTGAGCACTGAAGGAGGAGATGAGTTGCCGGTGTTCGAGGCGGGGTTTAGGCCGCACGTCCGGAGGCTTCCTGTCTCGTGACGACGTCCAATCCCCGAAGTGAAGAACCCAGGGGTTCAGTGGAGGTGGGAGACTTGGTAACGTAACGAACGGTTTAATTACATGGTAGCGATACAGTCGTCAAATCCGAGAGAACAACGGAGCAGCCTCGCGCTCCGCCTTATATAGGGTCCGTTTCTCCCTCACTCCCCGCCAGGGCAGCCAGTGCGATGCAGCAACCCGCCGTCCAGTGTGACGTAGCTAAAGTTCTCCGCAGTTAGGCCATGCCTCTCTCCCTTTCCCGAGCGCACCAACCACCACGCACACACACACGTCCCGCTAACGTCACGGGCGCGTTGAGACTTGTTGCCGCAGGCCCCGTCACGCAGGCGACGGTCCCGGACTCGTTGAGACTCGTTTCGCGCAGGCCCCGACAAGCGGGCGACGGTCCCGGACTCGTCTTGACTCGTTTCCGCAGCGTTGAAACTCGGAAGAAGGTCGTCGAAGGTTCCATTCTTAACACCGGTCTCGGGTGGTCGTGCGCCTGCGGCGAAACAACGGGACTACAGCGATGGCGGCAGCGAAAGCTACGGTCCTCGTGAGCCAATCAGCGCGCCGGAGAGAGACACGTTTCTGTACTCATTACAGTCAGTTACAGGTTAAGAAAATTTTCAGAGGGAAAGGAAGACTGGGGAGGAGGAAGCAGACGGAACGCTGAAGAGAGCAAGAGGTTTCCTCCTCCTTTTTTACAAAACAGTGCGTCACCTAAAAAGATCATGAGCCATTCCACTCTGTGAAGGTGGATAACCAGCGAAGCTGTTTAGCGCACGACACGGACCCGCCCCGAGGAACCGGAGGAAACTAGACACGCGCGACGGGACCGTCACCCTGGGAGAGCGGAAGGAAACTAAGCACGCAAGCGCTTGGAACGACGACAAAGAGAGGGCGGTGCGAGCGTAAACATGGCCGACGTGGGTTGCACAGCATATCTTTGAGAAACCTTTAGCATCTACCTGAGAGTCTACTGATCTTCAAAAATGCTGCCTATTGATAACTAATCTACTGAATAGACCTATTGCTAAATTACCTAAGCATCAAGGAGAATGCAGGGAATGGTGTTCCACGCGCCGCACGTGCCGGCGTCTGCAGCATCATGGAATGAGGCTATGGCAGCAGTAACTGTTTTAAAGCAAAAGCCTAAAACAAATGGCATCTTGCACGCTCGTTCGTCAGCGTTTTATTTTGCTTATTTACTTAGAATCTTTTATACGGGAACGGCGTGCGCGTAAGGCGGTGCGAGCGTAGAGTTTTTAGTCACTGCACAGGAAAAATCCACGGAACCCTAGCCATAAACAGCTTCGCTGTAAAACGCGACTTTGTTTGAGCGAGGTGAGGAAGTCGTTCTTGCGGAGGTCGGCAGAAGAGGCTCACCTCAGCCTGGCGTGGCGGGAGGCGACTACGTGCGAGAGCGCGCCGGGTCCGTGAGCGCCCACCGAGACGAGCACCTTGAGCCCTGCGCGTGCAGCCAGCCGGCCGATGAGGGCGTCGTGGCCGTGACGCCGGGGCACTAGCCTGCCGTCCGGGGACACGGCCAGGGCCCCGGCCACCAGGTGTGTGCACAGCGACACGTCCACGGCCTCCGGGCTCAGCTGCGGCTCGTTTAGGAGGTAGTAGCACACCCGCTTCATCTCGTTGTACCGGTACTGGCGGTCTGGGCTCGGGGAGAGGTGCCGCTGATCAGTCCCGGTTCGATGCACCAGCCAATCGAACCACACGCGAAGGCTCGCTTTGCTGGCGTCAATCTCAAAGTTTTCAAGTAAACATATTTTCTAAAAGAGGCCGAGAATCGGAGCGCAGAGCAGCAAATACATTTCCCACAAACTTTTACACTAATTTGTAAACGTAAGTTACGACAAAACCGAAAATGATACTAACTTGGAACTTTACAGGTCTGTCGTCTTGTTGTAACCTCAGATGTTCTATAAAAGTAGTGACCATTTCAACTTTCACGTTCAAAATACTTTTAAGTGTTATTTTGTCGTCCGTGACGCCACCTTCCCTCGCGTAGCCACGTCCGCGTGCACTCTGGTAGACGCGGTCACAACGCGTCTGCCCAGACGCCTGTCGATTGATGAGGCCTACCGAAGGGGTGCCGATACGCCTTGACGTTTTTCTTGTAGTGCCTGTAGAGTTCCTGGTACGCCTTGTAGTAGGCGGCCAGGAAGAGCATCGTCATGGTTCCGACGGCGTAGTCCTGGTTGCGTGGCCGCTCGTCCTTTCCTGCGCCCAACATCACGGCGTCGTCGATGAGACGGCCAACAGCTTGTGCCCATCAGAACACGGTTTCATCATGTGGCAGCAAACATGACATATCAAAGACTCCGACCAACTCGAGAAGGGAGTCCTGGCTGCGTGCCAACATTTGCGAAAATCTATTTTAGACCAGCGTTTATGTGTTAATGCAATCGAGACCATGCTAGACTCGAAAGGCGGATAATTATGACGTGCTTGGCTTATTGAGCGCCTAGAGATGATGGCTCTTTTTTCTGGCGCACAAAATGCTTTTACAACCCACACTTTGTGCGTCGACACCGTGTGACTCGAGCTATCTGGCATCACCGCACAAATATATCGGGCTCAACGAGGGAGGGAAAGTAACACGAAATACATATAATATTTATAAAAGTCGAGGCACAATTCAATTATAATTAAGCAGTTAGTGACATACGGAGAGGAGTGATGGAGCCGGAACTGCCTTTTTCTGCCTTTTCCTGAAAATTGGCTAAACACACCAACGAACATCCCTGAAATAGTAACCCGAATATTGGACTCAAATAATTGTGTTTTTTGAGAAGATGTGGTGTTTACAATTTTACAAAGTGAAAGTTTTTACTGGCAAAACAAAACAAGTGATGTCAGGGGAAGGCAGGGGTTCACTCTTTGGGCTGTAGGCTTTGTTCCCAGCTGATTACAAGCAGTTTCATGGTGTCAAATGAATGCTTTGGAAGCTCGCTGCAGCATCCGCGCAGCAGCACTATCGAAATGCCCGGCATAGTTCATTAAGTCTCGCTCGACTTACAAGCCTGCCTTCCACTGACGTCACGGCACTGAAAAGCGTGAGTATATTGAAATGTTGGTTTTGGCAGTAGTTTCACTTGCCGATTTCACAAATACTATTCTGAATTTCGCGATACTAAATAGCATACCCAAAAGGCTAAAGGCAGGTGATTTCGAAAATATAATTAGTTCAGTAAAGCATCAGAAAGAATAAGCAAAGGGGCGGACAAGAGGAGACATCTTTGGACTCACAACCCAAGTGCTTGTGGTGTACAGGGTGTTTCACGAAAGGTGGACAAATTCGATATTGCAAAAACTGCGCGTCGCAACAGAAAAAGGCTTCTGTCGTTTCGGTCCTGGGCAAAGGGCCTATTTATGAAAATTATTAAAGTCCGGGATAATTAGATTCTTAATTATTTTTGCGTAATTAACTTTTTAATATTGTATTTAAGGGCATAGTTTCAACTAGAAAATTGCTCAGCATCATCAAGAAACACTAAATCGACGGATTGCACAATGATAGCCGGCACGCGCAGCATTTTATGGCTTTTTTTTATGTTTTTTTTTTTTTCATGATTGCTTGTCATGTTTAAAGTGGCAATGCAACGATTTTTGTATTTTGCACAAATACCGCTTAGAACGGATTCCTGACGTTAATGACTCGTGAAATACCCGTTCGTTTTTCACCACACGCAATCGAAGTCGGAGAAAAAAATGAAGAAAAACGAGCCGGGTTCACCCCCTCAACTCGCAGCCAGAACAAGCGGCCACGTGATCTGTAGCCGATTATATGCCGCCAATGTTGATCATAGGCATGCGCTGGGTTTGACAAGGCGCAGTATACGCGCTGAGTCCCAGACATTGTTATGGTTCGGCTGTTGTCGTCATTGCAGCGATTGGACACCGGACACTACCCGAATTCTTCTCAAGCTGTCGATTATCACGAGCCCAAATCGAGTGTCCAAGCCATGCTCGGGTCCAATCTATGAGCCGCATTCAAATATCGTCACTGGGCGGTAGTGCTACCGCCCAGCTACGTCATCAGGTTTTGCGAAGGAGAGATTGAATGAAAACACTCGGTTTTGTCCTTGAAATTACAGCGTAACAAAGGAGTTTCTCGGTCAGTAGCGTTGCGTGGGAGTATCCTTGAGTCCCACTAGTGCGAGTAAGCTCGTGTAAAGTCAAAAACATTACAATTGAATATCGTTGCACCGCCCCTTTAAAGGGGCAGTGCAACGATATTCAATTGGAATGTTTTTCACTTTACACGAGCTTACTCGCACTAGTGGGACTCAAGGATACTCCCACGCAACGCTACTGACCGAGAAACTCCTTTGTTACGCTGTAATTTCAAGGACAAAACCGAGTGTTTTCATTCAATCTCTCCTTCGCAAAACCTGATGACGTAGCTCGGCGGTAGCAGTACCGCCCAGTGACGATATTTGAATGCGGCTCATAGATTGGACCCGAGCATGGCTTGGACACTCGATTTGGGCTCGTGATAATCGACAGCTTGAGAAGAATTCGGGTAGTGTCCGGTGTCCAATCGCTGCAATGACGACAACAGCCGAACCATAACAATGTCTGGGACTCAGCGCGTATACTGCGCCTTGTCAAACCCAGCGCATGCCTATGATCAACATTGGCGGCATATAATCGGCTCCAGATCACGGGGCCGCTTGTTCTGGCTGCGAGTTGAGGGGTGAACTCAGCTCGTTTTTCTTTATTTTTTTTTCTGCAACTTCTATTGCGTGTGGTGAAAACGAACGGGTATTTCACAGATCATTAACGCCAGGGATTCGTTCTAAGCGGTATTTGCGCAAAATACAAATATCAGTGCATCGCCCCTTTAAGTTTTGGTTTCCAATCGGAGCGCATCTCGCCCCCGACGGCACCGAGCCCCGTGGAGAGATAGTGCAACCAGCCTCTGCTGAGTTGCGAGAGGACAGCGCAGCAGAGATTGGTTCCACTATTTCCCCATGGGGTGCGGTGTTGTTGGGGCCGGGTCCAGTTATAGTGCCGGGGATGTCTTTTGGCAATGCGCTATTATGCGTGAAATATGAGATGTAGTCGAGCTTAGAGACCCGGCAGAGTAGTGTGGGCAGACTGGCACTGGGGGGGGGGGGGGGGGGGGAGGGAGGGGGGAGGGGGAGGGGAGGGGGGAGGGAGGGAGGGAGGGAAGGAGGGGAGGGGGAAGGGTTCATGGGAATACAGCAAATGAAGGAGTGCAGGGAGACATGGGTTGGGCATCTTTCGAGGCTGGAGAGGAGATCGGTAAGTTGAAATATGAACGAAGGTTGGACACGATTAAGGATACACGACGGACGAGAAAGGTATATAAGTATTTATACATAAGAAGTCTGAACACTAAATGGTCAAATCGAACCCGAAAACTGAAAATCAAATGCCAACAGTCAAGTGCCGGGGCAGAACAGACTATCTCTGTGAAAAAGGAAGTAAAAGAAGCTAAGAGAAATATGCGTGAGGAAGGAGTGCAGGGGAAATCAGTTTTAGCTATGTATACGGGTCGAAAACAGGAAATCAGGAAGGAGGTATTATAATTCAAATGGGAGCTCGTTGTTATTTAAGGCTAAAACCAGGAGCACTCAGGAGTTGGACATATAGGACAAAGTACGAGGAAATGGATACGCGATGTTCCGTATGCCAAGGGGAAGACGAGACAATAGAACATGTGGTGTTCAGGTGCACAGGGCTTGCTCCCGCCCTTTCGGATGGAGCGACAGATTAGATAGCACGCCTAAGAATGAGTGTGAAGTATTACTTGCAATGTACGGATATCTTCATACAATAACCAGATCAACACGGATTACAGTTCACACAAAAACTCTAATCGTCCTTTCCATTACAAATATTGATAATACACGTCTAAAGGGAGAACTATTTAGCTCCCATATCAGCGATCATCTCCCAATATTTATTTGAACTAAAAAGAAGCTCTTCACCCAAAACGAGACATGAGGTCATTAATTCAAGATTGTCAGGTAACATAGCAAGATTGTCACCTGACAATGCTATGTTTTGCAACGATATTGAAAGCTCGAGTTGGAATGATGTTCTGAGAGACTGATCCCTGTGTAGCATATAATACATTTTTAATAGGTTTCAGGCGATCTCTGGGCAGGATTTCCCCTACAAGATATTTAAATTGCCGCGCAAAATTCGAAAGCCGTGGATTATCCCAAGCCTTCTATCAAAAATATTATTAAAAAAATCAGTTTTTTTTGTAAGTTTGAAAAACTAGAAATCAAGAGGATTTAAAAAAGTTTAAATGGATTAGACACCAGGCTGTCAAAAGAATTACCAAACGCTAGGGAACGCTCAGTTTTAACTTGACAAGTGGAAATGATGAGGTCGCTTTTAATGAAGTTAATACGATTTTACGGGGTAGTCGAAACAATGAACGCTTAGAGGAGGTGTATATAAACGGCGAAGAAAAAATACTGCTTTAGCTGATATGTTTAATGACTATTTTGTAAATTTAGTCAATCTAAATTACAATGATGATGCTTGTGGGTATATTGAAGAGAGAAGTGCAAATGCAATCTTATTGGGTCCGGTTGACGATTCTGAGGTTTTTAAGGCACTTATGAATTTGAATAATAATCGTAGCAGAGACCGTAGACGATACGCTGATTAGACTTGTAAAATGTGTTTTAGAACAAAATATGCTTTATTTGATTTAATGTATGTATATCTGAAGGTGTATTCCCTTAGCGTATGCAAATAGGGGAAAAGCTTCTTTACTGCATAAGGAAGGTGATAAAAATTGTTTACATAATTATAAACCAGTTTTTACACTGCCGGTTTTCTTAAAGGGGCTAGAAAAATTTATTTACGTACGACTCTCAGAATTTTTCGATAAGCAGCAGCTAATGACAAAATCCCAGTTGGATTTCGATGGCATCGTTCCACTGAGCTTGCCTTACTTTAAGAAAGGGAATTCATTTTACGTATTCTAGAAGATAAGAAACTAGTTCTGGGAGCTTATATTGACTTTACAAATGCTTTCAATTATTTGAACCACAAGTTCTTATTACAGAAACACTTTTTAACATTATGGAGTAAGTGGGCGAGCCCCGCTTTTATTGGAATAATATCTAGAAAATCGTAAACAATATGCGTGCTGTAATAATTTTTATAAAACCCATAGTCTCTGGAGTATCACAAGGAAGTATCTTTGGCCATTTATCCTTTAACATAAGTATATGTAAATGACAAAGTGAATATTGAGCAAACAACTAACTTGATATGGTGATGATGCAACACTTTTGTTTGCTGCGGACGATCCCGAGGAGGTCAAAAGTAAACTTATTCTTAGGCCAGACATCGTTATGGACAGAAAACTCTTTAAAAATAAATACAAGTGAAACTAAAGCCGTACCATTTCAATCTAAGCATAAAATTCTCTCTCCAATAAACACCATTACTTTAAACTCAGTAAATCTCAAATTAACTGGTCATTTCAAAACACCCGGAGTAGTGTTCTTTCTGAATATTTTCTGGGACAACCATATCAAATATTGTAATAGAGAATTGTCAAGGACTGTAGGAATGATATGTCGACATTGTGTATACTTCCTACGTCCGTTAAAATAGTAATATAGAAATCATTATTTTATTCCCATTTAAATTACTGCTCGTTGGATCGGCGGTGTGCTACAACTGCAACACATCTTGTGAAAGTGCACCTGCTTCAAAAAAAAGAAAAAATATTGCGAATAATTGCAAATGTGCTTTGTCTTTCGCACACGGAAGACCTGTTTAAAACTTATACTCAATTTTCACTAGAAGCTGTCCACAAAATTGTGGATAGCCTATAAAATTGCCTTGCTTAAAACAAGATATCGTACCATACTAAATTTTTATCCTGATTACTGGCACGTACCGCTAAACACTATAGTATGAAAAGAAATGTTAGCGTACCGAATCCCAAAGCTTCTAAATGTATTGCATTCTGAAGGTCTCTGGGTGAATTGGGCTCTGTCATGTATGGTTTTGCATATGTAGATTGATGTGATACGTTTATTTTTAAATTTAAATGTATGTTTTGTGTTGATTTAAGCATGTCGATTAGTTTGGTACTCAGTTACTTTTCCTATTTTCTACGTTTTCGTTTCTACTGCGATCAATTATGTACGCTTTTGTTTCGATATTTATTTCCTGAAGCTGCTGCAAAATATACTGGGGCCGAGAACTCGTCAAGCCGCGAAGCGCGGCTTTTTTTCTTGGCTCAACCATTACATGTAATGGAAAACCATTATTATTTAGCCGGAGCGCTGGGGTTCGAAGATGGGAATGGAAGAATGAATGATAAGTGCATTTTAATAGCAAAGAGAAGATTGGAAGACTGGTTGAAATCATCTAGGGAGAATTGAATGACGTATAACCTATTGACGTATCTGGGGATAGGCGGGAGAGAGGAAAATTGGGACTCCCTCCCGCGTGGCTCCGGCCCAAAGTCTCCATTCTGTCTCCCAGTAAGCCCAGTACCAGGGTAACGCCGATTAGGTTGGACCAGAGGATAATTGGTGACTACCTCGCCGGGTGGAAGAGGCGAGGAGTCGCCAATTTCTGTATCAGCGTGTGGGTTTCGCATCGTGTTTGGGTCGGCCTGAGCCGCGTGTCGAGGCCTACCTGGGCGGTGCACCAGGGCGGTCAGGTTCCCGGTCAGGAGAGGAACTTGCAGGCTGCCGGCCAGGCTGGACATGGTGCTGTCTTTGGCGCCCCCGGCCGAGCTGGCTGCGCGTCGGGGTCTTCCCTCTGGGTCAATTCGGCACTGCGCGTCGCCGCCCCGGGAGAGAGCGGGGCCCTCGCCGCATCTGGGACGCGGTCTTCTTGCCCCGAAATCCGTCCGGCGGCGCCCGACCCCGCGGACTCGTCGAGCGGGCGACAAGAAAGTTGCCGACTCTGCTTTGCCTGGTTCGCGCGCGGTCTGGCCCGCTGGAAGGTCGGCAGCTCTCGCTCGCTATGCGGATGGTTGGGGGGCCCCGCCCGCGCTCCACCAGGAAGGTGCGCGCCCCGACGAGGTCGTGGGACTCCAAAAGTGCTTTCATTACAACATTTTCTGGGCCATGCGGTAACCTCGCAACTTGGCCTCCTCTGTCGGAAAGGGCTCCGGACTGGCTTCGGCGCCTAACAACCAATAAAGCACTCTTTTTTTTTTTTTTTACTAAGTCATTCAGCGTAGGTATCGAAATTTAGTTATTTTGTAAATTTTCGATCGTGTTTATGAAAAAAAAAAAAAAAAAAAACCTGGACTGTCTTTCTCCGGCGCTTGGCTGCAGACCACGTCGAAATGCATTTCTTTTTACGGGGGACCGGTGGCCGAGTGGGGTAGCGCACGCCAGCTCGGAGCACGTGGAGCGAAAGCTCACGCTGCGGAACCCAGGGATCCCACGGGTTTAATCCCCACCCCTTCCCGTTTCGATCTGGACGGGGCCGGCCCTACACCATCAAGCGCCCTGGGCCAACTCCGGCCGTGGCACACCCCCCCCCCCCCTCCCCTTTTTATACGCCCTTTTATATATATATATATATATATATATATAGGTGCGACATCACGTTGTTAGTAAACATGTGAGTAGTGGCCCAACAGGACGTCATTTTGTCAGACGAGAACCGAATTTTAATAACGAACGGCGGTCGAGCACATGACGTACTGTTGGACGCCGTGTACAAATAAATCAAAAAGCAAAAAGCTAAAAAAAAAAATGAAAAGGGGAAGCGGCGGCGCCCCCCTTTTGATGGCACCCCGGATCTGGATGAGCATCGTACCTGCGTGAGATCGCATATGACTACTTCGTGCGTGATGCACGTTAACGACCCCTGCCTAGCCGTCGAACCGCACTGGCTAAACTGCTCATCTACAGCTGAGACACCAGACGGCCATTGGGGCTGACTAGCGTCCGGCTGTACAAACATGCGCACAGCACAATTACAACCACGAAAGCTCGCTATCCCTGTCCTATTTGGCCAGGGGCGGATCCAGAACTCCGTTTTGGGGGGGGGGGGGGGGGGGGGACGGAAAATTTTGTAAGGATACTATTCTCCCATTCTTCCGTGTGCACCGGGGCGTCAACCCATGTCAAATTGCCCTCCAAAAAAAGAGAGGGGGGGGGTCGACTTTTTTTTTTTTTTTTTTGGGGGGGGGGGGGGGGTGGAGGGGCGGCCGCCCTCGTCGCCCCCCCCCCCCCCCTTCCCCTGGATCTGCCACTGTATTTGGCACGTCGAGCACGGTCAATCTCGTCACCAGCGCGCTCCTTCCTCTTGGGAGGCATTCTGAGGACACATCCAGTGAGCACCCCGCGTCTCTCGCATGCGGGCGGCATGGACTCTCCCACAGAAAGGGGGGACGGCAGGTGTGCCTCATTCTACCGCGCAGGTGTTTCAATCTGACGACCGGAGTTTGTCAGGAGGGTGACGAAAAACAACGTTAAAATCAGTTTTGGTTTTGCAAAACCTGTATTATTTTGAGCCCTTTAAATAAGTTGAAAAAGAGATACTTATGTAAATTTATATCCCAGAATACAGAACTCGCCATGTCCGTAACTTTCATATTGTTTTCCTTGTTCGTGATCTGGATTTCGTTTGGTTTCATGAGAATTCAATGTATGGTTAAGGTAAAAAATAGGACGTTATTAAAAAAAAAAAAAAAAGCAATTGACGGTCTTACTAAAGACCGACGACCAGTTTGCGCTTTCCACTCTCCCCCTTCCTTCTCTCCCCCCTTATACCATGTGACCCTGTCCACCGTTGCCTGTTTCCTCCTCCCCCATGGCGAGGAGGATCTTCTGCCTTGCAGAATCTCGGGTCTGGTCGTCGGCCTTTAAGTACAATAAGGCGGTACCGTTACCTCAAAACGAACTTGTTAATTTACCATATAAAGGTAGCGAGTTCAAGTTACACGGAGTCTGATGGACCGGGTGACGATCAAATACAAAACGTGTAACTTATATCTGTCAGCCAAATATGAAAAAAAAAAAAAAAAAAAAAAAAAAACGTTGATTTCGTTTGTCCTCGATGGGATCGCCTTAGCCAGCTGGCTGATTCTTCAAGTTTGAAAAGCGCCGAACATTACCAGAGAGAAAAAGGTCGCCACAACACACGGCCGTCTGTTGTGGCGACCTTTTCTTTTTATAGTTTCGGCGCATTTAACAGAGCGCAACGATTGTTTTCCTGAATGGAACGAAGATTGAAGCAGGGAATCAGTTTGAACGTGTTTTAGAAGTTGTGCAGGAAACTGTGTCAGTGTCCCCTCAGTTGTCTTAGACAAACAAGAAAACACTTTCTGTATGTGTCTATGTTGCGATTGAGGCGAGAAAAAGGAGGGAGATCAGATCAAGGTCATTTCATGGGTTCCGCTCCTGCACCCTGTGGAGGTTGCTTTGAAGAGGGGACCTTGCGATGGAGTTTTCCAGCGTTGACTCAACGCTGGAAATTATCAAGTCTTTCGTGACGAAATGACCATGCAGCGTGCAATCCGCGTAACGAGTGTCGACGAAACGTGTGACCATGAAAAGTTCCACGAAACGTAATTCCACAAAACGAGTTTCGACGAAACGATAGGCGCCCCTGCGCGTTATCGCGGCTGCAGTGTTGCGCAGCTGGCGGGTCCGTCTCTTAACTTTTCTTTTCTTGCCCACCGAAACTTTTATTGACTCTCTTTCCAACTTTTCTTCGTCCAATTTTATTTTAAAAATTGTTGTTTTAGTTTCTATTTCTTAAGATTTGTAAAATATGGGGCACAGTTTAATTTTATTTTTTTTTTCTTTCTAGTATGGTGACCTGCTAGCCGTTGAGCCAGCCTCTCGTTACTTACGCGACCATTTTAGAAGCTCGAAAAATAAAAGAGTGATTTCGAAAGGGAAAATATAGCTCGAAGCACGTTGCGCGAAACCAAGTTGGAACTCGGAGTGCCACGTGACCGGGTCGGGCCTCAGACGAGCGGGACCTCCGGGTTTCTCGGGGGGCGGTGTCCCTGCAGCGCACGAGCGTCGCCCCGTTCGTCCGGCAACGCGCGTCGTGGGGGTTCGTGGGCAACACAAGCTCAGGTTGCCCGGCGACGCGCTCCGTCATGGCGTCGCCGCCCGGGCGGGACGCCGCTCGCAGCCGAGCGCCGTCCTGTGCCGAGCCCGGCGAGGGACCGACCGGGGAAAGTCTCCCGAAGACGTGCCCCGGGGACGCCTCGCTGGCCGAGGAAGCCCACCCGGTCATCTCCAGGGTGCTGTTCGTCGAGAGCTCTCGTAAGTCCCTTTCTCTGTTCGCGCCGCGAACCTCCGTCTGTGTTTCGCACCAAGCCCGCCGACAACGAACGCTCGTACATTCCCCACTTCCCATGAACACACCCCTCGGCAGGACGGCCACGGCACGGTGCAGCCGCACGCTCTCGGTTCAAGCTTTAGCGGCGCGTCCTCGGGTGGCCTTGTCAAAGTCAGCGGCCCCGGCTTCTAGAAGCGTGCACACGCTTTCCATGTTCCAGTCCGCCAGTGATATTTGAATCGCACTTTCTGCGCTCGAGTCGACGTCACATCAGTGGCCTCGCTGCTGAGCGCCTTCGCAGCACTGCCGTAAATCTCGGAGGGCGTACCGACCATGCAGTAAAAGAGGCTACCATATGAACCCCCTCTCCCCCCCCCCCCCCCCCCCATTCTCCCCCTCCCCTCGATTTATAGCCAGGAGTCCAGGACTCCCGCTCCCACCGGTTGTGTAAATCGGAGGATCGAACCAGCAGCGTCACACGGATGCCGGCAATCCACAATACTTCGAAGCACTTCAAAAAATGACTTAGCACATCCAGTTGTCCACAAAACGACTTTCTCGTATCTGTTGCCGGCAGGTAGTGGGCGTACTAGCTGGTCCAGAGATTGGTGCAAATTCTAAGACAGAAACTGTTGAGGCGTCGACCAAGAAATCGCATGGATCGTGAGAAGTATACTGTTTCCCGAGATTTGTAAATGGCGTTAAAACGTCAACCCGTCAGGTTTCCCTTCTTGGGAAAGTATCGATGAGCAGTGCCTCCCAGGATCTGTCTGGGGACAACACCGCGGCGTGAGCGAGGGCTTTCCAGTGTAACCTTTTTGGTGGATTCACCGAAGTTGTCGCACCGGCACACCAGACGGGCGCCTCTTTCCGCTGTCGGAGCTCCCAAAACAGATCCGCGTGTTGCCGGAACCCACGAGGGTTGTGCACGGCAGCTCCACAACGCCAGGTCAATGCAACCATGTTCACAGCTGGGAGGCGACGTTTGGAAAGGACTTGGGAGCTCCCAGAGCAAACCCCCCCGGGTAGCTAGACGTCTGGCGTGTCCTGAACCGAGTCGAGAATGGCGTCGACATTTCGGGTACCGGTGCGAGTCCCACCACTTGGTTGGAGCCGCCAAAAGGATTCAGCCGGTTCACTGTTTCTATTCGTCTCATATGGTGAAGCGGCAAGCAGTAGCGGTCAAGCGGCCGTGCCTCGCCACTGACTCCCTTCGAGCAAAGCGGTGCTGGAAGACGTGCTCCGCGAGCGGCCGTCGGACTGGCGCATCTCCTCCTCCAGGCCAGTTCCGGGCGGTTGAACGGACAGCCCTCGCCGACGTCCGGGAAGACTCCCGGGAGACGACTTCGGCGCACGTGGCAGCGGCAGCCCAGGCATCGTTCGCCAGGACGGCCCTCTTCTGTCGGGGCGTGCTGGCAGGCGTCGCCCTCTGGCACGCGGTCGCCGGGGCCACCCCCTTCTCCGGAGTCTTCCACGGCACCTTCTACCTGCTGATCACCGTGTGTACCGTAGCGTCGTGCGACTTGTAAGTGCGTCTCTCTGTCCGCCCTGCCAGGCGCCGGTGGGCGTCCCCGGTTTGGGCTCCACGACCCCGGCTCAAGAGAGATTTATGAGAGCTAAGCCACGGAGAGCGTTTCCTATCTAAAGGCCCGTTTGCACACTTTCGTTTGCTTAGGATCAGTGTTGGGAAGTACCTCAAGTGCATTGTACTTAAAGTACTAGTTCAAGCAGGATCACTTAATTTGTGTTGTTTAATAAAGTGAAATTTCTCTCTGTGTGGCAGCTAGCGATACGTTGCTCAATGTGATACCGATTTAGTACAAGCCTTTAAAGACAGCGACGGAAAAAAATAGGCTGGTGGCATAAGGAGAAGGAAGAATAAAGTTTGTTATTCTTTTTCCTTCGATCCGTATGGCGAAAAGTGCGCTCACCGGGTTGCGAAGAGGCGCCACCGTCCCACGGGTTGTCCCTTTCGGTTGTGGAGAATGGTAGATGAATGCTTGTGCTTAGCGGCGATATAAGATTCTTTGCCCTTCTTCATTGAATCAGAATTTAATCGGAGATTAGTTCATTGTTGGATTTAGACGTTTTGGCCAGGTGGCGCAAGGCGACGCCCAAATAAAAAGGTTGCAGCTGTATCCATCCATCCGTCTCTGGTCTCGTCGTAAGAATGAGCAGTCGCAAGTGTGTGATTGCAAGTGCGCATGCCAAGTGGAAAGCGGGCGGAGACGCTTGCCGACGACCGACTCTTTTATCAGATCGCTTTGCAAACGCGGCCCATAAGTCACGTGACCCCAATGGAGCAGCTGGAAACGCCTGCCGCGAAGCCCTGCATGCTCCCATTTCACTCATCAGAGCGAACGGCGGTAAGGAGGTCTCGCACCATCTCCGGTGTTCGCTCTCTGGTAAAGCGGAAAGGGTGGAAGGCTTCTCGGGAGCTTTTCTTAACTTGCAACAATTTTGTCAGAGTAATATAAACGATGGTGGCGCATTTTGATCTCGCTATGGAAGCATTTTCTTCAACTTAAACGATACATTTTCCACTAAATTACCCAAGCATCACAAAAAATGCTGGAAGCCGCGCGGTTAAAGGAACGCGTTCAACGAGCTTTCGACTGCACTGTCGGCCGTAAACGGGGCATGGAAAGCGGCCCTGCGTCTCGCTGGGGTCCGACAGCATGGCTCATTCGTTGGCAGGATCGACGGGAGCACGGGCGTCCGGAAGACGCTGGTGGCCTGCGTGTACCCGCTCACGCTTCTCGTCCACCTGACCATCCACGGCTTGGACCGTCGCCTCGGACCCGATGAAGAACTCCCGGTGAGTCTTTTTTAAGCAGTGTTCACGCGACGCGGTCGGAAACAGATATTCGGGCTGTTTGAAAAAAACAAACAAACAAAAACAGACCCGCGTTTTTTGTTTTGTTTTTTCCCCGTTGCAAAAATAATTTTGCACCACAGAATGCTCCACCCAAATGCCATCAGGACGATTGTTGGTTGGGATCAACCTGTACAGCCTGTGTTTCAGAACTTACCAGTCATTATCTGGCTCAACAAGGCGGGCATTTTTTTGTTAAAAATTGCGGTGAACCAAGCCCGCGAGCATACTAAAATTAATGGTGGTTGCAACCGGGAACATTTTCTTGATAAAAATTTTCGGAAATCACGTTGCAATATATCAACATATTGTTTTTGCTATTTCCATTTGTTATCTTTCTATGATAGTTCCTTGCTTTTATTGCACGAAAACTGTTGTTCAATGGGGGCTGAAATATTCAATCAAGCTTTTTTTTTCTCTTTGCTTCAAAATGTATTTATTTAAATAGAAATAAAGATAATAATAATTATCATCATTATTATTATTAGTAGTAGTAGTAGTAGTATCTTTATTATTATTACTATTATGAATGGCAATTTCTGAATGTCTCGCACTTGATCGTAAACGCTGCAGGAACTACACTTAGATGGAGACAGTCGTCAAAGCTTACCTTTTTTTTTTCGGCATTGTGATTAAGTGGCCAAAGATGACTGGTCCGAGCAGCGCGTACTGCCAGCTTAGGGCTAGCTCCCCGCGACAGGATCTCGACTCCTCCCACGGCATCGAGACTGCGAGCGCAGATGTGCATGCAGTGCTGATTAGTGCTGATTAAGCTCATATGCGAGAGCGGAAGGGGGCTCCTTTATTTTAACGCGGTTAATATATGGAACCCCAGATAATGTAACTTTTAACTACACATCTGAAGTGAGAAGGGCAGAACAGGAAGACTCGCCTAATAAGGAGTTTTAGCGAGTCGTTTCGACACGAACGGTTTGTCCTCGAACGCATCGCCGACGTTACTGCGCATGCGCGCGCGAATCGTTGAGGGCTTCGGGGTGCGTTTCTCCCACGCCGACCGCTGTCACCGCAACACAGCCGATACAGTTCACGACTCGTGGAAAACACAAGATGGCGGTCGACAGCCAAGCGTTAGGCTTACCACAGCGGGAGGCGATTTGCCATCCTGCTTCTTTCTGCTTCGTCTGACAAGTACAACCAAACCATTTAGACTCAGAATGACAAGCGATCGTGAATGCTGTAAGTGTAAACTAAGCGTGATTAAATCTTTCGTGGTTCGGGCTATCGAGCCGCTGTGGCGACCACGGGCGGACGAAATGATTCGGTTCTACGGCGCACGACGTGAACGGTCGTTCAAGCTCAAAAGAATACAGACACATCACCTACCTTTATTTTCGTTTCGGACATATTTTACTCTATTTAGCTTCAGAGCTCTTGGAATTCCGACCCGGTAAATGTTACCTCGGCCGTCTTGTGTATAACAGTGTGCGCCGTGAAACACGAGCCACACATTTGTACGCTGCAGAACCTTTAAGGAGCAGTACTGACACCTACTGCTCCTGGGAAAGACTCATCGACCTTACCAACGGTGGCGTAATAAGGGGTCGCTCTTCTGGTTGTTCGGATCCTGAACAAAGGAGGGCAACTTTACCTATCCCTATATGTGAGAAACCGACGTCGACCGAGCCCTGTCCTGTTCTTGAGGAAGCAGCGTCGATTCTACGTCGCCCGGCCGTACCACGGAGCTCCACGCGTCCGTTCTCCCCCGACCGATTTCTATGCTGCTGATCAACAGGCCCCGAACCTCTCCTATCAGACTCCTGCTGGTGACGAGCGCCAGCAAACGACACTCGAAGAACCCACTCACCTGTTCCCTAGCAGTTCGACTTTGGATTATCGTCCTTCTACCCACAAAGCGTGCCTCGAGAGGACGGACCAGCTGGCTTCATGTTGGCTCGGCAGACAGGGACATATAGCTTTCAGCAGCACCAGGAATACGCCCTGAGATTCTCCAAAGTGACCCAGCTAAGTGGCCGGATGTGATTACTCACAGATTTTGGAACGAATATGCTTTGAGAATGGACCATTGTATTTTCAAAATCGGGCAGGAACTTTTCCGTCTTACGAAAGACAATATACAAACGCTCACAAACGATATATGTCACCTCATATTCCCGCACGAAAGGCTGTAAATGGAAAAACGTATGAACGACAGTGGCTAGTATATTCACTGTCCAAAGGTTTCATTTGCAAACTATTTTCGATTCCGAGAAACCCGAGTTCTTCAACCACGCAATGGCTTTTTTGATTGGAAAGGAGGTTTGCGCGTATGAAAACAGTGTCGAACACCATATACCTGCATGGCAGTATGGCTATCCCGCACGAACTCGAGCAGCACAATTGACAAGCAGGGTCAAGCATTTCGTCACTTGGACCGCTTACTGTACAGAGGTGTTGAAGCGCGTATTCGTTAGGCTTTTCCGTTCATCCTCAAGCTGAGACTATAGAAGCTTCGCTTTCAGCGCAAATTTTCTGCCCTCGCTAACTCAAGTGTAATCGGGCATGCACACGGCAACCAAAGTACTGCGGAAGCCGACGAGCTCGCGCTGAAGGCGGAGCTCGTTGGCTTCCGCAGTGCTTTGAGCCACATGTATTAATTTATTAATTAATGGGCCCGATGAATTAATTAATCGACGAAAACTAAATTTCATCTAATAATTGAAAAAATTAATCGATAAAATGCTGCTCCGTTTATACGACGCTCTTTTAATACTCATAGAACGTTAAAAAATGCCATAATGTGATGACAGAAATAGGCAGCTAAGCTCTAACCGATAAAGTTCGCCACTGCAACGGGAACACGGCACAGACCACCCTCGTCGAATGAATTATAGTCTGCCTGTCTGGATGTTTAGGCAGTGAGAGTGACTAATCTCAAAATTTAGATATTTGACCAGTGCGATGCGTAATCATTACTGAAGTTATGATTACGCGCGTGCAGCTAGATTGCAATGTTAATGATGTCATAAATGATTTATGGCCGGTGGCAATCCACAGCGCCACAGACTAACTTGAAAGACACGTCGACAACGGCGCGCTATGAGTACAGTTATCGTACAGTGTCTATGCAAAGCTCCATAATGGCGGCACGAATATGAATGAATTTGAGCGCCACGGCGCGGAGCTCTAGAAACCTATTCAATGACTTAGTAGACGACCTCCATTGATGTGCTTGATAGTTTAGGCTCTGCTCTGCGAGTATGAAAGGCTGCCTACGCTGAGCTCTGCGAAAAGTTCGGCTTCTTAAAATTGCTGACAGAAATTGGGAGCGAGATCTCTCTAGCACAACAGGCTGAGAAGTCGGTGAAAACCGATAAAAATAACTTGGAGCCAGCATTTTCAGCTGAGTTCATCCAGTTTTCGAACTTTTCCTGCAAACCTCTGTGTGCCAAGACACGAGTGCCATGGGATTAATGAAGTTGTTGCCCGAAAGGAAACCTATTAACGTGTTTCCAAACATTTCCATTGCTTTGTGAATATACCTAAGCACACCAGTGGCAAACTGTGCGAGCGAGCGATCCTTTTGCAGGTTGTCGCTGATAGAGAATCGCCTTCGTTCAAACCTTCTGGACGAGGAGTTTAACGCGCTCGCTACCACGTCCATTGAAAGTGACCTTCTCCACAATCTATCTTTCGAGAAAAAAAAAAAAATCTATATCTGATTTCGCCAAAGCAAAGATGCGAAAGATGACATTTTACGAGAGGACTGTTTGCGCTATACATGGAAGTTTCCAATATGTTTTTTACCGTGTGTCATGATTCAGTTGTCAATGAAACGCTAAGCTGTGATTCAAGAAACGTAAATCTTCGTTGTTTTCCTCTTTTATAATCAACTGTTCCTTTTTGTCGTTGTTGTTTTCACCTCATTACAAATGGCGTCTGTCAACATTGCGTTTATTTCGGGTCGTCTTTGCTTGTCTTATATTCAACGAAGGCACGTTGAAATTTATTTTGTAATTTGAGTTGGTAATTTACATTTGTAGTTATGGTACCCACTTTATCGTGTTTGTGTTGCCCTGTGCACTGCATATCACGGGTGGCCGAACTGCACCTTTTCCCGGGTTCAAATGTGACTCGCAGATCCCTGGGATTGGGCAGCGTGCCCCCCCCCCCCCCCCCCCTTTCCACTGTTTTCCCTCTTGCGTCCCCCAAAACAATTCTTGAACTAAAGAAAAAAAAAAAAAAGACACTCACGGTTTTGGCAGTCTTGTACTACACTACGCACATACAGCTGGACTGCTTTTTAACACATGACACATAGATGTGTCTAGTAACCATGCTCCTTTATTCTTATAGAAAGAATTTCGAACCTTACACGTATAACGGACGTCGGGGGCAGTAGCTGGCTAGAGAACTATCCATTCACTTTTGCTTAGCGGTTGGAGAAACGTTCTGCTGCCTGGGACTATTTGTTGTAGTCGACAATTATACTTGTCCCCTTTGGAAAGGACTGTTCCCTCCATATCGATTTTTGTTAAAAGTAACCCCCCCCCCCCCCTTTGTTTTCTTCCTTCCTACGGCTCTTTGAATTTTTGTAGATTTGTCTGCTGCTCTGACCCCATGTCCCTGTGGCCACCCCCGGCATATATCATGCATATTTTGTATATTTATTGTGCAACCTGTATATGTGATTTCTGCACTGTGCTGATTGTGTTGGATTTTAATGAACAATCTTTTGAATGCAGCAATGTCTCCTCATGGGACTAAATTTAGTGGTATAAACGAAGCTCACCGTTTTCAACAAAAAAACAACAAAAACAGGGCAGATAAATTGAACTTACGAAGTGAACTATTGGTGTTCACAACAGCAAACGTTCCGATCCACTTTTTTTCATTTTCCTTATGCAAGGGAAAGGGGGAGGGGGGGGGGGGGCACTGCCAAGACGGGGAAGGGGGAGAGCGTAGATGGTCCTCAGGCCCCCTATTTTCTTAATCCTGCTCTATGTGCATGCGCAGAGGGACAAGAGGCGGACCAGCCTGCAGCTGCTGCGTTGCGCGGGAGCGCTGATGGCCTGGGCCCTGCACGCCAGCTGCGAGGACCGGGCCTAAACACGCCTCGACTGCGCATAGGGCGACACGCATTGCTGCCTGTTCGTGGATCCTCAATCCTGCCTGGCTTCACTCTGTCCGGTGTCGTGCGAGCAGCCCTGTCTCTCGAACAATGCCTTTCACCGACTTCTTTCGGTAGGGAAACGAGTGAGTCCCCTATGTGCTCCGTGGAAGCCGACATCTATGATCTCCCCTCCTTCCACCAACCGTGTTTTTTCTTTTCTTCTTCTTTAGATAAGAATAGGCTCCCGCGTGTCCTTTTTCTTAGGGTCTCCGAGGCGAGAGCGCCGGCCTACGGATCCCCAGGTGGCGGGTTCGAATCCCGGCCGAGGTGCCCGCAATCTGACGGAGGCTTATTGCGGAGAAGACGCCGTGTAACCGAGCTTTCGGTTGCACGTCAAAAGATCCCCAGGTGGTCCAAATTAATCCTCAGTCCTCCGCTGGGGCGTGCCAGATGCCCGTCGTTGGTTTGGCACGTAAAACCCCCAAATTTGACTTTAGGGTGCTACCCGCTAGTCGTTGCACCAGGTGCAGACAGCGAGCGGTCACGAGCAATAAAAATTCACAGGGTCTCTTATGTTATCCCTCAGACGATTTGCTGAGTCATCCTTCTTACTGTGCTGAATCATCTTTCTCTTTGTGCTGAGTCATCCTTCTCAGTGTGCTGAGTCGTCACCTTAATTCGCTTAGTCATCCACTGTGTGGTCACGTAAACGTTTTGGTACCTTTCGCGTCACCGATGTGTTTCCGCTCAAGGACTTTGAAGGTCGACTCAACGATGAGACATATATGAGACATATTAATAAACTGGTTTCGATCATTCTGATAATGTGTCGTGTTTGCGTTACGCGCGCTATTATTTTTGAATAGAAGGCCCCGACGTTCCCCTAAGAAACAGAGGCTCACCACTGCGCATGCGCCGAATCCAAACCACCTTTTGGGTTCGGGGATGTTTTTTCGGCGAGGGATAGACGGTACCCGCTATTCGGGGATGTTTTTTTCGGGGAAGGATAGACGGTACACGCTAAAACAGTCTTGGACTCGAAAACAATTGCAATTACTCTGGGTTAAAAAGTATTCACTTCGATTACTTAAGAAGAGAAGTAATTGGCTTGAAAAAAGTCAGCGTTACTTTTCCGATTGCCTCCCAATTTCAAATGAACATTTTTTTTTTCTAGTTTGAAAAGGTATTTTTTGTGCTCTCCATTATTAGATTAAGCGAAACAATGATCCCATTAATTTTGGGAAAGAACCCTCCCGTCGGAGACGTGGATCGTAGGAAACGTTTAGAAGCAAAGGGGACCCTTCGAAAGAGGAGGGGAAAATAGTAGTGGCTACGAGTGATTTTAATACTTTTAAAGTAATTCGGATTACTTGATTACTTCCTAATAAATTTAGTCAAATGACAACAGAATTACCCCTAAAAGTAACCAATCGCGAGTAATTTAATCACTTGTAATCAGACCTGTACGTAATCCGTTACCAGGAATGAAATTACTCGTAATCTCATACATTTATCTTCAAGTTTGATACGTAATAGGTGTTTGAAATAACCATGCTCGATCTGAAATGGGTCGTAAATATCTGCGCGTGCACGTAGAAACCTAAACTTTTCGTCAAAGGTGTGTTTCACGGGTCGGTTTTATCTCGTAAAGTTACGAAGAGCTAGCTCCCTTTCTGTACAAAATTGGCCCAAAACACTTGCCAGGGTCAACGGCGGACGGTGACGCGGACGACCGAGTCGAGTGGCGGGGCGCGTTTGGCGCACATATTGATAGATGGCGCTACCTCCTTATCGAGACTGCTCGCGACAACCTAAAGTGAACGTAATCTTTTTGTAATGTACCGTTGTCCATAATTGCGGACAATAAGTACAAAACCTGAAGTAAAAAAATACCGCAGTTGCACAACGGCGCTCTTGCTGCTGACGCATTTCGTCTGTGTGTCATCTCTCGCTGGTCGGCTACACCTTCCGGCGCTGCTCCCGACGCCATCTATCTATACGTACACCAAACGCGTCCCGCCACTTGACTCAGTCGTCTGCGTCACCGTCCGCCGTTGACCGTGGCAAGTTTTTTTTGTCCAATTTTTTACAAAAAACTAATTCTACGCTTTGAAATTTTGCGATATAAACCCCACCTGTGAAATACACCTTTGACAAAAATTTTAGATTGCTACGTGTAGGCGCCGATTTTTACGGCCCATTTTAGATCGAGCCTGGTTATTTCACACACCCTATATTTTCTGCAAAGTTGACCGCAGTCACGATGTCAGCCGCATTGACCAGTACTTGGCGCCGTTCAGTTTCACAAAGCCTTTCTTTGCAACGCCAAGCCGCTGAATCTTTTTGTTTCTGCAGATGTAACAGCAGTCAGGAGATCTGATTGGATATCTTTTTAAAAAAAGGAACTGCGGGCAAGCTATATCTGCTTTTTTTTTTTTTATTATTCTCTTTGTGTTGTTTTCTTTCTTGCAATCAAAGACAGGGAGAGGAAGACACCAAGTTATGGTGTAGTGTACCCCTTCGGGAAGCTCGAGGTAGTAAGTCCGCTGACTAGAATTAACAATTAGCCATCTCCATAATGCCAGAACAGGAGAGGACGCTCTGTCTTCACTAGAATCTACTAAAAGCAATGTGATGAGGTGTAAAGGTGATTATAGCCACAAGCACAAGCATCCTTGTTTATTGCTGCACACAAGGTATTAGAACACTTCTTATCTCTTGGAAAACAATGCATTTTAGGTGGGAGCTATTTACTTTTTTTGTAGTACAACCTCTAGGGCTGGCCAACTTTTTTGAATTCCAGCCAGGCTACATGCATCTCAGTCACCCTTTTCGTGTGTCAGCTTTTTTGCGAGCACTTCGGAAATGTTAATTGTCTTTTTTTCCTGTTTTTACCAAAGCGGGACGAATATTATCTCATACACAAGTGTTTTACTAAAAAAATGGTAGCTGACCTATAGATAGGGCTCCGTACTTTCGGATAAATCAGAAAAACTCCGAAAAACACCCGCCGGTAGAATTTTTGGTCAATTCGGATTTATCCGATAAACTCCGAACGTGTATGTGTGTGCCAATGCAACCCGCCCCCCCCCCCCCCCCCCCCCCCCCACCCACGCAAAAAAAAAAAAAGAGTTTTTTGTACAGTTTGATTACCACGGTGTCAATGGACCTGGGAAAATGGCACCATAATTACCTTTCAAATTTCCGACCGTTGACAAAACGGGTCTTGCCGCTTTTCTCGTCGAGGTATTCATGGCAACAGGTTCGGGTCACGACAAAAGCCACTCTTTTGGTTTCCAGTCTGAGCCATGCGATTTGTGATTTAAAGAAAGGAGAAGTTATGTTTTTGCAACAGTGAAAGCTATGGACCATAGAGATTGTATTAAATAGAGAAAAGGGACAGTTGAAACTCTCTATTACCTCCTTAACCACTCCACCTCGCGCGGCCGCGGCCTAGATTGATGGAATATGATGGGATGACTACGAGCTCCGTAGCGACTGCCCCCGGGAGTTTATTGATTTTAAGGTATCGACGTTTATCGAAGCAACACTTGTGTGCAACTTTTGTCGTGGGACAAATTAATACTGCCAATGGCAATGGCACGAACGTCAAATTCAACTGAAGAAATTTTAATCCATACAAGCGCGTTTTATTTTTTATCTGGCATACGTTTACATCCGGTTATTATTTGCATATTAGTTTTCAATAGAAAACACTGAAATTAAACTCCGAATTTCGGAGAATTTTGAATCAAACAAATATAAACTCCGATATACTCCGAATCTTCGGCTAAATATAAACTCCGATATACTCCGAATCTTCGGCAAAATATTAACTCCGAAAAACACCCTTTCGAATTGGACGAAAAATAAACTCCGAAAGCACGGACTAGTTGTCTAAAGCAGTTGTTCTCAAATGAGGGGTCCGCGAAGGCATTCAAGGGGTCCGCGAAGCCCTGCCTCATCAGTGAAGCAAAGCAATAAAACTTTTTTTTTGTTTTTTTTTTTTAGGTCGAGAAGAAATGTTTAAGTTATCGGGCGAGTTTTCTCGTGTGCATGTGAATAAGAGATGTCTGCTTTACAATAGCCCTTAGTTATATCCATTTATTGAATCATAACTTATACCTTTCCTCTCCTCTCACCACTAACGGGGTCCTCCATCATTTCCGCCGATCCACAAGGGGTCCGCGAAACATCGATGGTTGAAAACCACTGGTCTAAAGCACAGGCGAAGGCAACGCCAAGCGAAGAGAAAAAGGGCAAGCACCAGGAAGGCTGGGGAAGAGGAGAAAAACCTCCTTTCTATTGTTCCTACTCCTATCTCTTTCTCCCTTCGCCATCCATTGCGAAGCTCTACTCTTTTTCCGGGGTTGAGCACGTCCAATATTGGACTACCATTCAGTGCCTCAGGTGAAAGGGTGTTCGGCGGCAGTCGACACCTTCACAATTGGGAATGGTGGCAACAATAAACACTCGAATAATCTCCTTGTTTCTTACTGGAGGCCACGAAAGCTACGGATTACTTTTTGGGGAATTTACTTTTATAGAAGGGTAATAGTAATCAATTACAATTTAGTCTTCAGTAATTGCAAGTGTAATTCCCTACTTATTTATAGTAACGTGTACATGTCTGCCCTTTACAAGACAGTGCGTCTTTTTGTGCGTTGCAGAAGCCTCAAAGTGAAGTTGAACGAAATCGCGAAGAGTGGAACATGGAGCAAGTCAAGGGAAAAGTAGAAAAAGCGTTTGTGAAGAGGAAGATAACTAGAACGCATATACCGTATTTGCACGAATATAACGCGACCACGAATATAACGCGAGGGCAGTTTTTGATGCGCCCAAAAAGAAAAAAAATATATTATTACTATTATAACGCGAACCGATGCTGCGTCAATTTCTCGCACTCGGGGGCATAGCAGAAGTGAAAAGTCAATGGAAATAGAAGAAATACCAGTTTATGTTTTGACTGCACTCATCCTCACTGTTCAGGTCCTTCCGTTTACAATCCACTTGGCGACTACGCAGGTATGCAGCAGCACGGCACCTGCTTGCCTGGTAGTTCTTTTCTCTTCCGTGGGAGCTCCTCGGCAGCCCACAATCCAAACAAGGCGCGGAAGCAGAAGCACCAACACACAAACACCAGACCACTCTGGAGCAGAAACTAAACAATGCGCAGGCAGAAAAAAGACTGCTGAACCCGATACACGATCACACTTCTTGTTCTGATCCCTGTTCGTAAAACAAATGCCTCGTGTTGCACGATTGCGTAAACGCGGTCGGTGGTCTTGGCTTGGCTTTCGTTGACTTGACTTGGCCCGGCTTGGCTTGGCTTGGCTCGAATTGGCCAGTGCCCGCATCCCCGCATGGCGCGCGCGCGCGCGGCGTGCGGCGTGCGCGCGTTGTACAAACACAAAAGCGATAAAAATGCTTTTTTATGTTTTCTATTCGCCCCTTCACGTGGCCCCATGGCTAGAAAATGCCCCTCCACACCCCCACTTCTTTTTCCATTGGATCGTTTGCATTGAGCCAGAGGGATGGCTTTCTCCTCTTGCTTTCTCCAGACTCGCGCGCCTCGTGGCTGAACTCGATTCCGAATATAACGCGAGGTGCGTTTTGGAGCACGTAATTTCGAAAAAAAACTCGCGTTATATTCGTGCAAATACGGTATATGTTTGAAGGGTTTGAATCGTATTGATTTTGTCTCGACCTCAAACGTCCAAACATTTCATGTTATCTAAAAAAAATACCGGATAAATTTGTTTTTAACTTACCCAATACTTGCGACGCAAGCGACACAATGCGTTTGCCAATTAATCGCATATATATTACGATTCTTATATTTTTCACTGTATTTATTTCGCTTGCTAGTCGTATTAGCGCTACGCGCAAGAAACGCAAGTACACGCTACCTATTCACCGGCAGGGCCCCCTATTCTAAAAGTCCTTGTTTACTTTGGGTGCTCTGGGATATGCCGAGGAAAAAATTTATCCAAGCAACCTAATCCTATGCGGAGGGCAAGTTCGTCTGCTTCTTGCGCAGGGGGTAGCGGTGACGTCAGAACGCCGAGCCCTGATTGGCTGTTCGCGACCCCCTATCTGAGCGTTGTCTGCTCCTTTGCAACGTCGTCTGCTCGCAACGTCGTCTGCGTCTGTCTTACCTTTCCTGCGACTTTCGGAAGTGCAGAGGCCAGATTCACGAAACGATCTTACCCCAAAAATGCGCGTAAGACAAAACTTAAGAACAAATTCGTATTCACGAAACGAAATTTTCGTAAGTTTTGCGCAGGTTACAACGAAATCCTACGACAGCTTAGAAGCTGTCTTACGCACTTCTTACGATCAAATCAGCATGGCCGACAGCGTGCGGTCGCGACGACCCACGGACGTTTATTTTTCTACGTGCGCTTCTCACGCCTCCCGACTTCAAGCAGCAAGAAAAAAGTAAAAAGTACTTGAAACAGACCATGACGAACAAGAACGCTGGATCCACAAACACCCGGGAAAAGCTCCAACGGCCACGATTCCACCGAACGCGACCGAGCGAGTACGGCAGTTAGGCCTAGCAGGCACTCCGCGACTCGGCGACCGTCTGCCCACGACCGGCTGGCGTGCTGAATGGAATATGCCCGCGCGACCCTTGTGAACCCTTCCCGTATTATACTTTGATCGCTGACCTCAATTGTAGATTAAGAGGCCAATTTCTTCCTCTTGTTATCTCCTTGTTTCCCGAGGCAACGGTGACTCTCGCCGGTGTAGAAGCGGTGAATCTCCGACAGACGCAGGAAAGGTAAAGCAGCCATCGCTTTGACTAGCAGACGTAAAGCAGACGACGTTAACTGCGCCAAGCCGCCGACGCCGTTAAAGAATGAGGGGTCTTGTCGCACACGAATGGAGGGGAAAAAGTATTTGGGAGGGAACTTGCGGACACTAACACGCTCACTCGTGGTTCTTAGCAAACAAACCTCGGCGCCTCGGAACACCTCGCCAGTGAGTCCTTTGACTTCCCTCCTTGATGCGCGTCTGCTAGTTGTTAGACAAAAACAACGTACCGCTCGAGTTATTTCGTCTGCCCTCTCTGAAAGGCGAAGTCGAGCTCGCTCGTAAAGACCTGCACTTCCGAAAGTCGCAGGGAAGGTAAGACAGACGCAGACGACGCTGCAAAGGAGCAGACGACGCTCAGATAGGGGGTCGCGATCAGCCAATCAGGGCTCGGAATTCTGACGTCACCACTACTTCCTTTCTCATGCGCAGAAGACGAAAATGAGCCCACTTGCGAGGCGTATTCCCCCAGCTCAGAGCCGTTTATACTGGGAGAGTTCAACCAATGTGCGGAGCCTGTTGCCTGCTAAAACCAGCGGATTTCGCGATAACACAAAATGGCGTTACTTCTATGTCTTGTTTAACTTTATTCCTGTGGACTCGCATAGAGTTCCTAAGAGTCAGAGCCACAAAATGGCGGATGGAAGTAGTCATCCCCCGTTGTCGGACTACGCTGCTGTGGTTGCCAGGCCATAAAACACTCAGTTTAAACTGCTCTGCTCCCGCTCAATCTCAATACGCACAGTGGTAAGTTGGGTTAGTTAGTATACCATTGTGAAAGGGTGAAAACAGCGCGAAAAACGACACGGACAGAGAAGGTGTACGCTGGGTGTGTGTACAGCAGCTACAGCTTCTCTGCCCGTGTCGTTTTTCGCGCTGTATTTCCCCTTCACAATACGGTGTAGCCGTGTTGTGACTGCAGATTGCAAAATTCGGCGCTTGCTCCAGGAGCTGTGGATGGGCGCCTGGACAACAGCTCACAGCGAGATCGATGAATGTTCGGCGCGCGAGCAAGTGCGTTTATTGGAAGGCCGGAGGGCTAGCGGATGACGTTGAGCTTTGCGGCGGCCGAGGCCTCTCCGAGCTCGTTGGCCGCCACACACCAGTAGGTGGCCGTGTCCGCTGCCGTCAGAGACAGCAGCTGCAGCCAGCTGGTCAGCTCGTAGCTGTTGGGGCCACCCCGAGTCTGCACGCTCAGCCGGGGGTCGTCGGCTGCGCAGAGAACAAACAAGGCGCTCGAGAGAGGGCCTCCCGTCCTCCCTAAAGCAGCAGACGATGGATGGATGGATGGATGAGGCTGAACCCTTTGAATCGGGCGGCAACTTGCGCCACCTAGCCAGTTTTTTTTACATGTATTTAACATTGTTTTAGAGATTTATTCTTAATAGCTATATACGATCCATACGACGGAGGCGCCTCTGTGCAACCGGGTGCCCACAGCTTCCGCCCTACGGATCGCCCAACAGAGAATAAGATAATATGCATCCTTCCCTCGACCTTGTCACCAGTCAGACAGTCTCTTCTTCTTGGTTATCTCCACCTTCCCCGCGTCTAGTTTTCCCTCACTATCCCTCAATCCCAGTGCGTTTGTTAAATCAGTTCCCTCTTGATCTGCTAGACTCTAAGGGGACAGAGCGCTTTATAGTCAAGTATCAAGTGCTCCCAGCTGTCTCCTCCTCCTTTCCACAAGCTCCACACACCGTATCTCTAGTATCCAGCACTATGTGCCTTATACCCGTGCCACACGGGCAACTCGAATGCCATTTACTACGAATGACATTTGAACGATCGGCCAATCAGCGCGCGACACTCCGAGCGTGGGGCGTTCCAAGCGCGACAGATCACGAGCCGATTCGTCGATCACAGGAATGTCATTAATTGTAAATGGCATTCGAGTTGCCCGTGTGGCACGGGTATTAGTCCGCAACACTGCCGTCCTCGCCTCGAACAACAAGGAGCTCCCCCTCGAATTGTCGAAGATGGGCTTCTCAGTAATGTCCTTCTTAAATGATATGTACATTTCCAAGGCCTACTCGCCCGCTTTTCATATTTTCCCCTCAGTTTCTTTAACTCTCTTCTTCACCTTTTACAGCGAAGCTGTTTGGCTACGGTTCGGTGGATTTTGCGTGTGCGTGGCCAAAACTCTGCTCTCGCACCGCACCCACGCGCCGCACGTGCCGGCGTCTAGCTGCAGCAGCATAGCCTCCTCTAAACTGACAAAGCCTGGCAGATCGCCACAAGATGCGGCCGCCGAAAGTGAAATGTAGAGCGGCAGACAACGGATGAGAGGAGAGTCATGTAACACGCGCCCCGCTGCGGCGAGACGCCGAAACACACTTCTCCCGAGCGATGGAATGTCCGCTCGTTCTCCTCGTGTTCCCGCTTCTTTTCTCGTCGGGTTTGAAAACCATGTTTCGGGTCCTCGCCGCTGCAAATGCTGTGCGCTGACGACCAGGTTTCCCGAGAACTGCTCTCTGCTACCAAATCCTCGCGCTCCAAGTCTGCAACTGGGCACTCTATGGCTCCGTCGTCGAACTGCCAGGCTTTCTGAGTATAGAGGAGGCTATGGCAGCAGTAACTGTCCTAAAGCAAAAGCCTAAAACAAATGGCATCTTGCACGCGCGTTCGTCAATGCTTTATTTTGGTTATTAACTTCGATTCTTTTATACGGGGAAGACGAGCGCGTGTGGAGCGTGGAACACCATTTCCTGAATTCTCCTTGAAGCTTGGGTAATTTAGCAATTTTCGTGTCCGTGACCAAAAACTCTACGCTCGCACCGCCCTCTCTTTGTCATCGTTCCAAGCGCTTGCGTGCCTAGTTTCCTTTCCTTCCGTTCTCTCGGGGTGTGGTCCCGTCGCGCGTGTCTACTTTCCGCCGGGTGGCGCTCCCGTCGCGCGTGTCTAGTTTCCTCCGGCTTCTCGGGGCGGCGATAGTCGTCCACGCGAATGAATATAAAAAAAAACAGAAAGACAAGTTGACGTTCTTTATTTTCACCATCACTTCTCTCGTCGTAATGGAGAGAACGCGTATAGTCCGGACTCCCGAAGAGCAACGCGCCTACGAAGAGCAACGGCGGGAACGGCAACGAGAATGTCAGCGGCGGCGGCGGGCGGCGTGTGTGTGCGTACCTTTTGTTACGATGACCACCAATCAAGACAACAAATATGTTCGTACCTTTGTTCAAAATTCTGTGTCACGTCTGTGCAGTGTGCCAAACAGCTTCGCTGGTCATTCACCTTCACAGAGTAAAATGACTCCCAATTTTTATTTTGTCATCAGCCTCCCTGCTATTGCCCATATATTTAGATTAAGTATTCTAGTCCGGTTTCTTCATTTTGTATCTACGCTTCTCATACGCAAATAGCTAAGAACTCTCCGCGCCTATCGTTCTGCATCTATTTCTTAGCCTATCCTCAAATTCTAGCTTACAGTTAGCTTCCCTTCCCTCGAATGAGGACCACCTTCATATCGCCCTGTACACCTTGGTTCGGTGTTTTACCATGTGCTCCCAGAGTCAAACTACCTAATCCACAGTGCTTTATTCCAGCTTAGGTGAAACACTGCCAATCCCTAATGGGGATTGGCAGCATTTTTGAAAATAAAATAAATAAATAAATAAGGTGGCTACACTGTCTTTATGACTAAGCCACGCGGTGCCGAGACTAGGAACAACATCTCGGGACAAAAGCAGTTGCTGTTCCGCATCTTTCGCTTCCAGCCGTTTTGCATGGTCCGTATGTTGGAGATTTATTTTCAATTACGAAGCTTTCGCGGAAAGCTCGTTTTACGTTTCAAAAAAGGACCGAGCTAAGATGTAGGTCGATCTATCGATCAAGCTGTCATATGCCGCATCAAATACTGCGTGAAAACTGTTAGCAGCGACTTTATCTCCAAAGTCCTTCAGTCCTTGAGAGGACACTAAACGGTCGTTTTAAGCGAGAACTGCAATTTTATAAATTACCCTTCAAAGTCACGTCAGGTCAATTTCCCCGCTAAATGTAGCGAGGAAACTGGATTTTATCTCCCACTTGGTCAAAGTCTCGCGACGTCAATTTCTCCGCGAGATTTAGCGAGAAAACTGAATGGGTACTTATCCCGTGGCGTCAACATAAATTATAGGGGGAAAGTGGTATTTAGATCCCGTGACCTCAATTTCCCCGCAAAATGTATTTAAAAAATGCACAAACGGACGGATTTCTTTTTTTTCTTTTTTCTTCGGATTAGGGGATTTGGCTTAAAGACAGCCTTCCAAATAGCGTCAAAGTGAAGGAGAGGCGCTCACTCGGCAAGGCCTGCTGGACGCCGTTGCCTCGATCGACGCGCCACTCGACGCTGGGCACCGGGTAGCCCATCACCTCGCAGCTCATGGCGGCCCGGCCTCCCGTGTAGTTGCGGGTGTGCTCGGGAGGAGTCACCACCCGAGGCGCTGCAACAGAACAGAGCGCTTTACCTCGGCGAATGTTAAACAATAACTGTCTCGTAAAAAAAAAAAAAAAAAGAACGTTGGGCGCGTTCGCAGATGACCAATTTAGCCACACTATTAACTTGTGGTGCCATCTTCCGATAGGCGCGCAGACAACAGAGTGCGTCGTCTGATCGCTGCGCCTATTGAAAGATGGCGCGGAAAATGACATTGTCTCTTTTTTTTTCTTTCTTTCATTGTTTACTAGAACAGATCTACGCCGTGAAATTTGACAAAGTTAGCTTGACCTGCTCAGTGCACATTCGATAAAAGTTGGAGCTTTCTACATGCACGCGCCGCGTCGCTTGAGCCACCCTCGAACTGTCACACGGAGCATGGGGGTTACCAACCGAGGGGAGCAAGGGGAACGCTTGCCCCCCCCCCCCCCCTAGTTTTCAGAGTGGGGAGGGGGGGGGGGGGGGGCAAGGCATGTGTTTTGCCCCCCTTTGAAACAGCCGCCACTGGGCAGGGCAAACACTGGCCGGCGGCGCCCAAGGGATACCAAGGGCCCCGCCTCCCGGCCCTGGGGCAGGGGCAGTCTTGGGCAGTAACTAGTTACTAGTAACGCGTTACCGGTAACTAGTTACTTTTTTCGGTAACTTTTAACTGTAACGCGTTACTCTTTAATACTGGTAACTTGTAACTGTAACACTGTTACTTTTTTATTGGGTAACTGTAACTGTTTAGGCCGTTACAGTTACTTTTTACTATAAAATTAAAATTCCTGGCTGACAAAAAAAAAAAGAAATAGAACAAACAAAAAAAATTGCCTCGTTTTGCCCACGACGGACCATAGACGAGACGGACGAGCGAGCACGAAACCGGGAGATTAAGGAAGCGGCGCCTGCGGTGGTAGGGGAGGCAAACAATGTGTGTTTCACCGACTTTGGCTCAATCTTCTTCTGTGGGGACCGTCTGCGGGTGTCGGTGGTCATGCGACATGTCTCCGAGTATTCCGTCTGGGCTGTGTCTGCCCTTCCCCCTCTCCCTTCCTCTTTGTCAGATATGTCCGCGCTGTACGTCGCTTTTACACCCAGCCGGTCGCCGCTCCCTCTTCGCTATGAGTTTCCAAGGAAGCCGTCCCCATATTAGGCGGAAAGTCGGCGCTTGTTTAACTTATTCTTTCTCTTCGGAACCGCTCGAGTAAATTGCCTTTCCCGCTGACAGCCCCAAGAAATACTCCAATAGACGTTTTGTTGTGGATTCTCTGCAGTGCTCCAGCTGAAGCGATTACCCGGAAAACACGTGTTTTTAAGAGAGAGAAATTGCTGTTTTGAGGCGCGTGTGCGGACTGATCTTCCACAGTTGGCGTTTGAGACAGAGGCGCCGCGGTGGTCGTCGTACACACGTAGAGCACCAGAAGGCCTCACTTTGTCTCCTTTCCCCCTATATTCTTCCAAAGCTGTTTGACCTGCTATATTTAAGCCTGCTTTCGAGTATATCCCATAAGGTAATTATGTGACCATCTGTGTCCTCTTTGGTTTCGGAGTGAAAAATAAACGAAAATGTTCACTGACGCGGGAGGTCCATCTAACGCAACGTATGTCCGAAAGCTTGTACCCTGTCGCCTATTGGTGAAAACTTTTGGGGGCTGAGCCACGTGCGGGAATGCGATTGGTTTGCGCAGAGGCCAGTTTAACCAGACGGTTCAAAAATGGCCACTATTCTTCAGCTATCACTTGTCAGTTTATTGGGAAATCTCAAGCAGAGGTTACTGTGCGCGTTCAGCCTGTTTATTCTTGATAGCGCTCAAGCCATCCTGACAGGCAGTCATGTCTTCCGACACGGAGCAGCCGTTACCTTGGCCCTCGTATCGCGAATATTTTTCTGTTCTGACAACGACTGCGACAAACATCACAGTGCTGTGCAACATTTGCAGTAAACAGTACTCAGCAAGCAGGACGTCTTCGTCCAACCTGCGCAAGCATCTAGAGGTATGTTTAAGCTTTCTATTCTTGGGAACTCCGGTTTCTTATGGCTCATTTGGCGTTATGAATTGTGCTGACGATGGGGAAATATATCCATATCATTAAATTGTGCTCTTTTCTTTCTTTTTTTTTTTTTTTTTTTTGCGCAGAAGAAACATCCTGTCGCTCTGAAGGAATTCGACTCTAAGAAAAGGAAAGCCGAACCTGGTCAGCCCTCGAATGAGAAAAGACATGCGGGTGGCGGCTCGACACAGACACTGGAGTTCTATCTTGCAGGAACGAGTCGACACAAAGCTGTGCCGCAAAGTCAGATAGACAGGCTAATTGTAAACTTTGTGGTAGGCGACATGCAGTGCTTTTCAGTCGTTGAAAATGAACACTTCCGGCGCTTGATCATCGGAATGCAGCCATCGGCAACAGTGATGAACCGAAAGTCTTTTGTGAATCATCTGGACATCCTCTACCGAGAACAAAAAGCGTCCCTCATCGCTACCCTTGAGAAGGCGACGAGGGTCTGCTGCACAGCAGACTGCTGGACAGCCTCAAACAGGTAAGTTCTTGATGCACTGCACCCTATCTATACGATACTCTCAGTGAGACGCAGGTCGGTTTGTTTTAGAACCCGGCACATCTAAGCCTGTAATTTGTGAATAGCTGAAATAATTAATATACAGATATTGTAGTACATTGTCAACAGAAACCTAGCCTTAAGATCAAAGATCTCGTAGTCCATTTTCTAGTCTTTTTGTAAAAAGTGTCTCCTGTTGCATCAGCACTTGAGCAGTAAGTGCATGGAGCTAATATGTTTGTGACCAGTCAAGCCACAAGCCACTACTGTGTTACTGATCCAGCCGTTTATTTATGGCAGCGTTAGAGTCATATAACGTTATCTTCCCTTTGCGTTATACGTTTACACCGTAGAAAACACCCGCGCGCAAGTAAACCCGAAGTTGAACGTAATCACCATTCGAGCGCAGCGATACCTTGTTTATTTATTTATTTATCAATACTGCCAGCCCAATATAGGGCAAAGGCAGGAGTGGGGTAATACAGTGTCACACATGCTTATTATAAACACAACAATTGTTTAATCTAAGCGGCTGCTCAGCCATTCAAGACCGTTACGAAAGGGCACCGTTCTGGCGTTTGTCCTTTTTTTTTTTCATTCAATGAAAGCAGAGAGGACGCTGTTTCCTTGGGTTTTTAGATTTTGTTTTGTACTGTTCGACGCGCATTTAACTTTTGGCGGCGCTCAGATGTATGTTGGAACGAAATATAACATTTTCGCACCAAATAATTTGTAACCCCTGCCATTGATCGATGTGTTTGGCGCATCACTTGTGGGCAAGTAGACCTGTGCGTCTTTTTTTTTTTTTTTATATAGTGAATAGTAAATTTGACAGGTTCAGTATTCAAGGCCTCTCTGGAATCGAGATTTTGCTGTTCGGCTGAACAGCGACCTCTTGATTTTCACTTATTAGATTTCCAACATATTGCCATTTTCGTAATTTCGTCGTCAAATGGTAAGACATAATAAAAATAGTCCGCATTAATCAGCTATATTATGAGTGTCACGGTTATAACCGGAGCTTTGTTGTTCCTAAACTAATTAGTATGACTGGCGAGAAAATTGCAGAAATTTAAGATTCCAATTAGAATATTTTGCGGTGACCATAGGAGCTTCAAGCATGTATACAAGAGCATCGTGCTTGGTCGTGATTGCATTGTCACTACATTGAAGGGCGCAGCAACAACAATAGTCATTCCTTTTTTTTTCCAATCTTTTTAGGAGCTTTCTCGGAGTGACAGTTCACTTCCTGGATGAGGAATCCCTGGAAAGGAAATCCGCAGCGCTGACCTGCCATCGGCTTTCAGGCCGTCATACATATGATGTGATCGCTTCTGCGCTCCATGCAGTGTTTGTGGACTACAAAATATTACACAAGATATGTGTCGTGATCACGGACAATGGTTCGAACTTTGTGAAGGCTTTTAGGTAAGTTTATGGTCTTGTTTGTTCCTGTTGTTTTTTTGTTTTTTTTTTTACCCTTTGAGCTCCGGCTGGACACCTTCATATCACCCCAAACGTATACCAGAATTACATATTAAATGCGGTACATTGTGTTTCACTCACAATTTTTATTATGCTGTTGGGGCGATCTGCAGTGTAGGGGCACATATTAAAATAGGGGGACATTTACTGCTTTTATACGATTAATGAAGCTCCACATGTGAAATTTGGCCGAGTTTAGGCAGTTTTATTGAAAATATCCGGACGTACACTCGTTGCGTAGCTTCATTTCGTAATCCTATTTTTATGACACTTCCCCATCGGAGTCATTAAACACTACTAGACGATTGTTTAAATTTGTAGCTAACCTATCATCTCATATCTTTTGCGACGTTCAAGCTCAGCTGGGTAAAGGTTCTGACGGGTGTGACTTATTTTGTGGCGCAGGGTATTTGGAGAAGCTACCGAACCTGAGGAAGATGTCATCCAAAATTGCATCACAGAGGTTCTTGACACAGCTCCAGGCGCTTGCACATCAGAGATCCACTTGCCTCGGCACCAGAGGTGCGCTGCACACACTCTTAATCTAGTTGCCTCCGCGGATGCTGAAAACGCGTGCAACCAGTTACCTTACGGTGCAATGGCGAAGAATGTGTTTGCAAAACTGAAATGTCTCTGGAGGAAGCAAGCCCAGTCAGTTCAAGCCGCTGAAGCCATAAAAATCACCCTAGGAAGACAACTTCCTGTCCCAAACGCGACGCGATGGAACTCTTTGTATAACGCTGTAAAGTTCCTGAATGAGGTCTCGAAAGGCAAACTGGACGCCACATTCGAGAGACTTTCGCTGCCAAAGCTACAGAACGAGGAGCTTGCCTTCATCGACGAATACTGCAAGGTATTGTAATAGCGTATTTGTTTCACTTTATGCAGTGCGCTAACCTTTCGTACTCTTTCAGACGATGTATGGCGTGGCGAAGGCACTGGACATCCTGCAAGGCGAGCAGTACATGTATATGGGTGTGCTG